TATAGACAACCTAACAAAGTAGGGGACAGGTTGCAATTAAAATTAAGTGCGCAGTATTAAGAATTTTTTTTAATCGCCTTTTTTTATTGTTTTGTTAATGGGATGACCCGATTAAACAGATGGTGCTGTTTTTATGTTCTTAGTTAATATCAATGACATCATACCCAACAATGCCCTCCTAAGAAGAAATGCCCTATTTCCAAATTTTTCGACTTTAGTCGAAAAAATCGACGTAAATCAGTCAGAAATATTAAAAACCTCATTTTAAAATATCGACGTATACAGGATATTCCGCTACTCGTGTTACAAACTTGGCCAGTAGATTCAAAAAGGAACCAAAAAGTCCTAATTAACTATGGTCCAAATCTCAACACTATCGGAGTTATTCCACTTTTTCTGAATTTTTAAGATTTCACGACCTTGTTTCACATAAACAATGGTAACTCCAAAACTAAAAAATATAACGTAAGTATGAAAATAAATTCATACAAAATTTCCTTAAGTGTTTTTATTTTTTATTATTATTAATCTTTCCGCCTTACCAATCCTTCATCCACGGACCAATCCATTTTTTCTTTTCCTTCATCATTTTCTTCAACATTGAAAAAAGTAATTAAAAAAAGCAATTGCACCATTAAAAAGGATATTAAATGGAGTAAGTTTTCTGAAATTTTCTGGTCCCTAGGTTTGGAAATAGTAGATTAAAATCACCATAGTAATTTTTTCAACTTTCAAAATATTTTTCCAAATTCTCTCTACTAAAACATTAATTCACAAAGGTGTACAAATTTAGTATTGATCACATCTTATTGGAAATTTAACTTAGTTTTCAATGGTATCAACGGATTTGTCCAAAACCTTTTAGTTTTGGAATTACCATTGTTTATTTGAAGCAAGGTCGTGAAATCTTCAAAAATCAGAAAAAGTGGAATAACTCCTAAACTGTTGAGATTCGGACCATAGTTAATTATGACTTTTTGGTACCATTTTGAACGTAGAATCTACGGGCGAAGTTTGTAACACGTGTAGCCGAACACCCTGTATAGCATTTTAAGAAAATATAAAAAATAACGCTTGTACCACTAAATTATTTTTCAATTGTTTTATGCCAAGAAATCTTGTTTCCTGCGTAAATGGTATCAGTTAGTAGGGAGATGCATTGTATTAAGATGTGGAAATTCTGTAGTATTAATTATTTGCATTAATTTACTATTGCGTTGTAAAAGAAATTATGGTAAAAATCAAGGTATATTTGGGAAAAAAAATCTTTCTTTTCTGATTCTTTCGGTTCTTTTTTCGTAAGTTATCATCTCAAATATTTGCTAGCTAAATTTAACGTAACAACCTTTCTTGATTAAAGTACACAAAATAAGAGTGAATCGGTAAATAAATTATAGATAATATAAAAGGCTTTCACGATTATTTAAAAAAAAAAAGAAGAGAGATTAAAATTTTAGGCCGAACATTTTGAAAAATAAGCCAACTTAACCGAGGCCATCAGCATGAAAAACTTCGAAGTTCATTTTCTCAAAACTATCAAAACAGTATATTTCTTCTTAGCAGGGCGTTTTAGGTGGCCCCCAACCATCGTTTTAAAAAACGAAATACTTGTTTTTAAGCATTTATTTCAAAGAATTTACAACAAAAATGTACGTGTGTAATTATTATTCCAAGAAAACATATGAACATGATCGCACAGGACCTTTTGTGGAGTTACGTATGTTTTGTAATTTACAAGATAAATTTTATTTAGATCAAAAATATCCAGTAAATTCATCAGTTTAGGCAATAAAATAGTAATAAATTAAACTTGTTCATTTCACAGTTTTTAAAATTACTAACGAATCCCATCATCCGTTCAGGGCATATCGTGTGGTTGGTAATTCATTTTTTTCGTAAATGAACCAGATTAGGGCGAATAGGCAATAAGTGGTCTCTTCGTCATCTAAATGGCGCAGAGTACAGTTTCTGGTCTTGGGGCGTCGGCGGCCGCAACGGTGTAGGCGTTGACACGGCGCTCATCACTGTAAGGTGAAGGTCCTGGGTTCGAATCCAGCCGCCCTGCATTCGTACCCGACATACTTTCAAATGGGCTTTTTTCAAAAACACCGGCATCCTGAGGATTGATATGGCCTCTGCAGTTGCGAACCCTCATAAAAAAAATTATACAATTATTGATGCCTAATTCGAACGTTAGTACTCTGTAAGGACATTTTTCTTAGTCGTTTATCGAGTTTATAAATTTGATCTGGTACTGGAAAATCATCTTGAATATCTTTAAAAATTTTGTCTAGTTAGGGATATTAGTCTTAAATCTTTTTCATGTTACAAGTCTCAAGTATTGTTTTGATTTTATGAAACCATCCAGAATTTTTTTTTATTATTTCAATACCAAAAATCGTCGGATATCTAAGAAGATTTTTTTAAAATGAAGAAGCAATTTCTCGATTTCATCAAAATACACTGAAGACCCTTAACCTTTGAGAGGAACGAGATTTTACTATTTTCAATTTACTATTTTATTCCTGGCCTCAGCATGTTTTTGTTGTGTTTTAAATATAGCCTTTATTTTTTATTAATTTGTATACATTAAAAAGAAATAAATGTTACACTTTAAATATAACGAAATTGATACAAAATATGTAATGTGAGAACGGTCCTTTATCTTCGTGTCCTCACAGTATTATCTGGATAGCCCCTTGTAATCGAAACTTTATTAGAGGAAATTGTAAAATTTACGCACGCGCACGTACGTACGCACGCACGCACGCACAATACACAGGGTGATTCACTACTCGTACGACATTGTTTGTCGGGTGCTTCTTTCTACACCTCAAATGCGCCAAAAAAGTTCGACATGGTCCGATTCTCAACTCTTTAGCATATATTCAGTATTTTATGTTTTTTACAATTATCTACGGTTTTCGTCATAAATATATTCGTAGCTTTTGAACTGTTTATTGAAAAAAAATCAATGTAATGTTTCTTCTTTGGTTGTTCTCTATGTTTACTGTCCCTTTTTTAATGTGTTTTGTTTGATCTTATTAGATTAAATCTTAGATCTTTTTTATTAGGTTAAAGTTGGGTTTTACCACTTATACGTTTTCTTTTCTCCAAGTTTGTAGATATTTTGTCAAAAATTTTCTGTTTTTGATGACTGATTTTTACGTTGAATTTTTTGATGCTTTTTTATTAGGTTAAACTTGGGTTTTACCACTTACACGTTTTCTTTTCTCTAAGTTTAGTGTAGATATTTTGTCAAAATTTTTCTGTTGAATTTTTTGGTGCTTTTTTATTAGGTTAAAGTTGGGTTTTACCACTTATACGTTTTCTTTTCTCCAAGTTTATTGTAGATATTTTGTCAAAATTTTTCTGTTTTTGATGACTGATTTTTACGTTGAATTTTTTGATGCTTTTTTATTAGGTTAAAGTTGGGTTTTACAACTTTTGTATTGTTGATCTGTTTTTCCTCTGTAATAGAGCAGATATTCTGTCCAATTTTTCCGCTTTGGTTGTTCGCATGTTTATTGTCTCTTTTTTATGTGTTTTGTTTCATTTTTCTCTTTTTGTGCTTTTTTATTAAGTTAAAGTTGGGAAATAAATTTTGTTCAGGACAAAATGTTACTTTTTTACACCGTCACCACTTTTTTAATGTGTGTTTTATTTATATAAAAGTTTTGCCTTTTTTGATTCACTAGTTTTCCTGGTCCGCTTGACCAATTAAAATCTTTCAATTAATTAAGGTTTTTAGTTGAGACAAAAAATTTGAACAATGGCAAAAAGGAAGGAAAATTCAAAAGGTGGGGGTTGATATGGGAAGCGGCGTATCAAGCGGAAGATCGTGGGTTCGAATCCCGCCCGTGACACTGGCTTTTTTGTCTCAACTAAAAACCTTAATTAATTTTCCATTTTAGTTTGATGTAATTAAAGAAAAGGGCGTAAGTGGCTAGAAAAGTTATTAGACGAAGAGGTTGTTATGAACTTTGCCAAGCTCTGTCGTTTTTCCACATCTAGTTTTTTTTACAAATTTTAATTTAGCAGTTTTTGAAAGATTTGATGTTTGTCTTCTTTACACAAAAATTAAATTGAATATAGTAGGGTGACTTCTTTAAGGAATTTCAACAGTCTTTTCAGTGCTTTCTTTTTTTGGAGTTTTTATGTTCTTTTCAACTATCCAACTATCTACGGTTTTCGTAATAAATGTGCTTAAAGCTCTGGAACTATTCATTTTTGGAATAGTTCCAGAGCTTAAAGCACATTTATTACGAAAACTGTAGATAGTTGGATAGTTGAAAAGATCATAAAATGTTGAATACCTGAAAACGGGTTGAGATTCGGACCATGGCCCATACGAACTTTTTCGTTACATTTGCGGTGCCCTGACGAACTACGATATATATTATATTATTATTATATTATAAACTCGACGTGGTGTTAAGTTAAAAAAACAATACACGGAATATCCATGAGAACGGAAACATTGATCCGCTTCGGAATTTTTTTATATCAGCAAAGTCGGGTTTCTTTTGTAAACAATAGCAACTAACTAAACAGTCTATTCCTATACAGTGTTAACGTAGTACTCTGTCATTGGTCAGACTTGACAAAAGTTTCTGACGCCCTCGATTATTTTTTGATATGTCAAAATCGTGGAATGTCGATTTCCTCAGCAGAAAAACTCTTATTTATACGGACGTTAGAGTCTTTTGAAACTACCTCAGTACTGTTCCGCTTGTTCTCGCTTCGACACGTTGATATCTCATCTTTAATCTTCAAAGATGATTTTTAACTTTAAATTTATTCTTTTGCGTTTGTAATCGTCTTCGGAGACGACTTTCAAGTCCTATGGTAAATATATTGAAAATCTTGAAGAGCTTGAATATAGCTCAGCGCGGATCGATGCTATCTTCTATCGCCGTCCACCGGACACGAAACAGTTCTTTGCCGTCCACCATACAAAGCTGTTGCGTTTTTTTATATCAATTCCAGTGTAATTTGATTTTATTGATTTTTAAATGACTCCTGTCGAAGGGGAATCCTACAGGCCTCCGAATATCGATGGCAAGGTAAATCAACTTTTGGAAAGGAAAAGTAAAATAAAAAAACGTTTAACCTAATTTTAAATCTAACAGCATAGTAATAATCGTGTTGATCATGTTCTTAATTTCGTTTTTTAAAATGTACATGGAGGATTAGATCAATTCCAGCTGAATTATGAGGAAAACGATTTTTTTTCTATTCAAAATCATCCATTTCAAGAAAAAATGTAAAACAGGAACGAGCCTGAATAAGTGATTAATTAATCCATTAATATTCAAACACCTGTGTGGAAAATCAGTCGATCTTCTTTATATCCGACCTTTTACGTAGTGAATAATTTTTTTAAACATTAAATATCTATAAACTAATCGAAATTTCATATCTTAACAATGTACGATTAATTGTTTCAATTGTTGTCCAAAACAGTGTTTTACATCCGTTGGGTGTATTTATTAGCGTGAATGTTTAAGAGGGTCGATGGCGGAATATTGAGTGCCCCATCGACCAGTTAGGCAACTAATCGAAATTTCATCGTTTAACATTGTACGATTAATTGTTTCAATTGTTGTCCAAAAAAGAGTTTTACATTCGTTGGGTGTATTTATTAGCGTGAATGTTTAAGAGGGTCGATGGCGGAATATTGAGTGCCCCATCGACCAGTTAGGCAACTAATCAAAATTTCATCGTTTAACATTATATTATTAATTGTTTCAATTATTCTCCAAAAAATTGTTTTACATTCGTTGGGTGTATTTATTAGCGTGAATGTTTAAGAGGGTCGATGGCGGAATATTGAGTCCCCCATCGACCAGTTAGGCAACTAATCGAAATTTCATCGTTTAACATTGTACGATTAATTGTTTCAATTGTTGTCCAAAAAAGTGTTTTACATTCGTTGGGTGTATTTATTAGCGTGAATGTTTAAGAGGGTCGATGGCGGAATATTGAATACCCCCATCGACCAATTAGGTTAGTTAATATGTGTAAAGGGTGATGGAGGAATATCGAATACTCCACCCTAATTGAACGAATAATAAAACGGATTGAACGTATTAAGAATTAACTAATCTTTTTATGTAAGGTTCTGGTTGAAATGAAAAAGCTAGTGGCACGAGCGGGATTCGATTCACTCGGACCCCAACCCATCTCACAACAACATCTCTACAACCTTTCGAGTCCGAGTGGATCGAAGTTACGATAGTTCAAGTGGTTAGAGCAGCGGCGTATTTAGCCGAAGGTCGTGGGTTCGAATCCCGCTAGTGGCACTGACTTATTTTTTCAACCAAAACTTTACATAAAAAGATTAATTGAAAGAAGTAATTTGGTTAATAGACCACTAAATATAACCGATTTAAGAATGAACGTGTGTGAATGGGTTTGGAACTGCATACGTTGGGTGCTGATTTGACCTAGATGTTGACACGGTGGCTGGAGAGATAAGTCCGGAGAATCGTTCAAGGACTGCCAACACCCACAGTGGATGATTCTCGATGCCTGCGGCCAGTTTACTGTAAGTGGCAAAAACTGGAATTGCCGGTGGACTGTGAGAAGTGATAGGCTCTCCTGTGCACATGTGCTTATATAAATCCAAATCCAATCCAAAATCCATTCCCATCCTACAAGTGCCGAATCGGCCCGTTTCTTGGATTTGACGTGGAAATAGCTCTATCGTCCGATTTATTTACTATTATTTTTCAGGAGTTAAATTTTTTCCAAAAATCTTATCTACTTGAGGTCTCCAGATGAAAATAAACCTCGAGCCGGCTATTCTCCTTCTATATAAAAACAGGCTATTATTAAACTTCCTTAACGTAACAACTGAGAGCCTACGAAAATCTAGATCTTGGTTTTATTACTACTAGAAGTTAAAAAAAAAGGCCTATTTTCTGGCATTTACCCTGTTGATATTTATCTATTAGCATAAAGAAAGATGAAACGTTGAAGAATTTGTCATTTTTGAATTCAGAAACCACCGAGAACGTGGGTGGCGATTATTTTTATTCATGAACAAAACAAACGGAAATTACTCATACAGACTGTGATTATTCGCTTATATTCCTCACTATTTTTATTTCTTTGTAACTGTACGGTTGTAATTTGGAGGCCAAAGGAAGGCGCACCATTGTTCTACCTGGATTTTAAAAAGTCACAGGCCTTGAATAGATTCAGGTGTATAAAACCCGTTTGGAAACACAAATTCCCCTATTGGAAGTAAATTCAATGCCAGTATGTTCAATTTTCGTAAAATTGTAAGTATGGGTGTGAGGGAGGAGGCAAGATGAATTAGAAAACATGTCACCGAATTGTATTATTTTTTACGTATTTAACAGAACTCCGTTATTGATAAAAAGCTAACAGTAAGTAATCTATATGTAAGGTATTGGTTGAAATAAAAAGTTAGCGTCACGAGCGGGATTCGAACCCACCACCTTCGGCTTAAGCCGCTGCTCTACCGCTTGAGGTATCTTGACCTCGATCCACTCGGACACCAACTTCCCATCTCACCCTACCTTTCGAATTTTCCCTCCTTTTTGCCATTTTTCAATGGAGCCAACAGTAAGAACTACTTCTATTCACTAATCGCTTTCGACTTCTGAGTTGGTAGCATTTGAGGTGGATTCCTTAGCCTTCCACCAATATCTCGGCCATCTGCGACTCATCTGTCCTGAATGAAGAAAAATCTTCATGCTGGTCGTCCTGTGGATGCTCGTTCCCGTCGTCTTTGTCTTCGTCATACTAGGTTGTCTTCCATTTCTTCATACTTCTTTTTCATTTTGTGAAGAAAACTCCTGTTTTCCATGTCTTAGAAATTTAAAGATTGACTCCGATGTTTGTTTTTCTTTGAATAAATTGAAAAACGCAATCTGACAGTCTTCGAACTTAAAATTAACTTTAAGGTAAAAAAATATTTTATGGCTTTGCCTTTAGGTGCATTTGCCATTTACTTTCGGTCGACAAGGTAAACTGTCGGTAGATTTTATTTATTCCCTTGCAGATGTCACTTTGTCATTTGCCATTGATCAATATTTAAATAGTGATGTCATTTTAAAAACTCGTTGTTACAATGGCATCGAACAATTGAAAAGCGGACGTCAAGCTAAGCACAGCGACATTTTTGTATGCCATGTTTCACACCTTCACCGTCATCGCGAGAGTGAGGCGTACGAATATGTGGTCGGCATCGGGTACAGATCGATTTGGGGCAGACGTTTGTTTCAAATAATCATCTTTTTTTGCATGTGGTACGGTAATCTACTGTTACTAAAACGGAGTCTGCAATGGTAGTAAAGAGATGGAGAACGATATGGAGGGTATCCTGGGTAGGATCTCTTGCGTAATATAGGCTCGTAATAGTTTTCAATTGGTATGACTGTAGCCACCTTATGTTTAAATATTGATTCACGTGAGAAACCAAATCAACATCTATTGTGATATTCTCTATCTCCCCCACATTCCGGGGTCTGTTTCTAACTCATTATCTTTGAAATGGAAACGGTTGATACTATGCCCTTTAATTTCTTCAAAAAACAGTATGAGTACATCATCATACTCACCCTCACCTTTACCATTTCTACTGTAGCGGAAACCTATGGTTACCACGGTACCCGTAGGGTGTCACTACCGGTTATGGAATGATCTCACCCTCCATTCTGCAACGAATCAGAGCAGAGCCAGTGCGTACATAAGCAGAGGCACTGACCCATTGGCCGGAGACTCGACAACCCGACTCACCAGTCACTAATCGACAACGAAAACAAACTTGTCTCTCCAACGAGTTCTCGCTTTTCACTAATGGTCTCGAACTCGCCTTCTCAACATAGCCGACTTGGCTACAGGCAAACCGCTGCACCAGTGTCCTTCAACCGATGTAGTCAGCGGACTCACGGCCCCGGACCTCAGCCAACTGCTCTCTCTACCAATAGACACACACACTCGGTCCCGGCTTCGAAACACCGTCTCAACGCTACGCTTCCAAACCGGCCCTTGTCTGGACCACCAAAAATCTCCCAGTCACTAAACTACTAAGCACTTTAATGCGAATTATACGTCTGCCCCCTTTTCAATAATCAAAGTGAGTTTTCGAATGTCTTGTAGAATTGGGTTTCAGGGAGGTTTGTTGTATTTGGGCCATCAGATAAAACCACTAACTCCTTAATTTCAAGATCGCATGCATATCGTAAGGCTTCACTATGCTTTCGTCAGTAAATATTGACCACTTGGAAAGCATGCAGATGATTTTCTGGTCACGCCACTGTGGAACAACAATATGCCCATTCATCCAAACGTTGTTAAATATGCTTAAGAGACAAAGTTGAACATTCTTAGACAGATGGAGAATCATTCAGTAAGCAATATTGTCGTGACCAGGAGCTTTATTCCGTTATTGGGAACCACTTCCTCAAAGGAAAAGGATGATCTTCCTCGGTTTGTGGTTCAACTCCAACTAACTTGTATCGGCTTTATCAGGGACTGAATATGTTGCTACAATTTCCATAAACTCGTTTATACTATCTAAATCCTTAGCTGATTTTTGTTAAACCGCTACCCTGTAGCAACCTAATTTTGGACCATACCGAGCTTAAGGATGATTCCAGTCAAAGAGAGTCACAGAAGTCCGTCCCGCTTTTCCTTTTCTTGATTTTAAAAAGTTTCCTGCACTTTGCTGCCCCTCGCTGGACATCACTATAAATTTTTGGATTTAGTTTCTGATGTACTCCCTAAATGCGCTGTTTTTCGACCAAGTCTGTTTGTTAGTCAACATCCCACCAATTCTTGGGCGTTTTTCCCGGGCGTATCTTATCGTAATGATCGTTTTTTCCTATAAAGAATGAAAAATCCGACCCTCTTCTATATCATATCAATAAAACTGTCATAAGATGATTTGAAATCATCCACCAAATTCTCAATAGCAAGGGAGTTGCTTTTTTGAACAACCAATGATCTGGTTCATCTTCTATATTGGAGGTGGCTGGCGCTAGACGAATTGTCAGAATGGTCCGGAGGATGGCCCAGGAACTTACTGGTGATACAATCTGTAGATGAGATGATATCGGGGATTTTGGTCGGGTTTTCCAATCATCGCGGGCGATCTGTTGTTTGAAAAACACAGTCCGAAACGATCTGCTCCTTTCATCAATTATTCTCCGGCATAGTTAGAGAAAGAACAACCCCGGGCTACACATGAGCATTAAAATCGCCTCCACCGATAGCAGGATTGACTATACATTGGATTAAGATGTCACACCATTCTGTCTCTGAGATCCTATGATTTGGTTGGACGTAAATCGACGCTAAGAGATTGGGCAATCCTTCATTTCGTGTTTTGCCTGTTTCAGGCGTTGTGTCCACGACAACTGTGTGGAAGGTTGGCCGTACCTAAGGCAGTTTTCTCATTATTGGAGTGGAAGAATGCGCGGTTTGACAGCAGAAACTGGCATAAATTGTAATATGCTGCGGGATATGTAGGCCTAGGAACTACACGAATTTCAAGAGGGATTATTTTTACATAGTTTCCTTTTTCAATTTTACTCATATTTTCGACAGCGAAAGGATGAATTATAGATTTCATGTTAATCTCTTCTCCCGCGAGGTCTAAATCCACTTCTCTTATTACCATCAATCCGGAGGTCAACAAACAACATCACAATTTGTTTAAAAAAACAAGCTTGTAATTTCTTAGGTGTTATGTAAAATGGCTAATCTCATCTGACATAATTTTTTTTTATATTATTTTTTACGAGGATATTCAACTACGAGGTTTGAACCCTCGGGGTGGCGGTGGTGAAAAAATCCCATTTATAAGTATATGTAATTCGAGTACAGGGCCGTTGGATTTGAACCTGGGACCTTTACCTTACAATGATGAACGCCGAGTAAACGCCTAAACCGTTGCGGCCACCGACGCCCCCTTTTTTTCTTTTTAATTAGTTACTTCATTTATTTAATTCTTTATTTAACAAGTGTAAGAAGAGGTGATTAAAGTCAGTTAGTAACCAACTATTACATATGGTCTTTGTCCACGAGGCCCGTTATTTTTTTTATCTTAACTAGAACAAAATTAATTTTGAATTAGTTTGGAAGGAAACATTTTCAGTTATTTACAAGTTGAATTATATATTTTAGCTTAAAAATTAGATATAGCAAGTTATCTCAAGCATTAGATGTTTTGTGGTTGCACCTATTTACTTAATCTTAAAAAATTTCTGTGCTCACCCAAGAAATTAGTGTTATTGATTAGTAGATAATATAAAACTAATTGATCATTAATATTTTAACTCACGATCTGTAAAATTGGGTGTATTAAATATAAACCCTGTATAAAATAAGTAAATTGAGGAACCAAAATGTTAAAAACCAAGAAATACCATAGAAATGTGTGTTTTGACAGTCTGAAAATCTTAAAAACACAGTGCACAAATTGAATTGGAAAATATTAAAGGTTCTTTTGTTTCAGGTCCAGTTCGAACAAGCCGTCCCCATGCCTAAATTACCTCAGTTGGAAACATGCTGCTGTTGCTGCACCACAGAAACGGGGAGCAAGATCATTGGCTGGTTGATGACGGTTTGGCTCAAATACAAAAATAAAATTTAAAAAAGAGCATCACTCATGCCCAATGTCTCATTTCAGATAGTATATATTTTCATGACAATTACAACTGGCTTCTGGCTAGTTTCAGCAGCGATGCATGTTGGTGAAGAAATACCTACATCACCCGACAACAGCACTCCACCCTATAAGATTGAAAAAATTGGTAATTATGGAAATTTAAAAAAAAAATTGGATAATGACAATCAATTTCTGTACGGCTTGTCTTTTATTTATTTGGGGGGTCATGATGTCTCAAAAACTACATCATAGGTGGCATGTGTGGTAAAGATGGCCACAGCCACCTGGGCATTTTCTGTCATTTTTGTCAATACAGACAAAATATCAATTTTGTGTAATTAGTCTTACTAAAAACTAATGGAAACAAATAAGCTGAACAAAACTGACTTTTGTTAACAGATGTCTGGCAGGCGGCTATAGGGTTTGGTCTCTCTTTGCTGTCATTGGTACTTGGCATCTACCTTTTACTTGGTATAGCAAAGGTCAGTTTACAATTCTTCTTTCTTTTTTTCTTTTTTTTTAATTAATTTTACGTTACAGAGGAACATGAGTTACGTCAAGGTTTGGTTGACTTTTATGACGATCTACCTCGTCATCTTTGCATTCTTTCTCGTCCTGACTGTAGTACAAAGTATCTCATCTCATAGCGTCGGTCCTCTTGTCATGGAGTTAATTAATTTCTGTAAATATTTCGCTTTTACTCTATTTTACACATGATGTTTAATTATTTTCACTTTTTAGGTATTTTGTCATATTGTGTTCTTGTGGTGTACAGCTTTTACAGAGATCAGAGACAAAGCCCCTCTGCAAACTACTAAAATATAAATTTTACCCTTTTTTTATTAATACTTTTAACTCTCTATTATGTAAAAAAAAATATTTTCTGTAAATTGTATTAATTTTTTTCAGCATATTAATGTATGTCTTATATATCGCTAATTAAACGATTACCTGTAATTTTTTTTGTGCTTAAAATGGCCAATATAAAAGTATGAAATGTATACTTCAATATTTTATCTTTTATTTTTCACTAAGAAAGAGTTTATCTTTACGATCCTGTTATGACTGTAATATTATTTACCCAATTTGAGTTTTATCAATAATATTTCACCGATCATCATTGCATATGATCACACCAGCATAGAAATCATTGAACAGCACAATTTAAATTGTGAAATTTCGTGTGATCTGCGACACACCCTACTAAATATAGTGAAATGTCCAAATTTCTCTGACAGACCAAAACAGCAAGGATAGGCAGACCAGAATAATTGGTAATGACCAAATTACACATTATACATTACCAAAGCACGTTAAAAAAAATATTTGAAAAACTGGTTTGATTTGTTATTCATACAATTGGCAGTTTTATTTGGAAAATTACATTTAAAACAAAATAATATGAATACACAAAGTATTCATTTAAAAATTTTTAAAACATTTTTACTAATGACAATACTTATGATTACAAACAATTACAAATAATAAGTTTTACAAGTGCCAAGGAAAGATTTTAATTATACATTCTAAAAATTTTTAAAATGTGTGACAAATTCACCACCTAGTCAGTATTGTTGTGCTTAATAACCAATATTCTGACATCTTGTAGACAGTTCTTGTCAATTGACTCTTCCAAAGCCCGAGACAGATCTTCAGTTTACTGCCCAACAAAATTTGTCAGAGAAATAACATTTTAAAATACATATAGGCTGCAGAAAGGAAATTGAAAATATACCATTGAAACGTTAAGGAAAATTTAAGTTGAAATGAAAAGTATGTTTCATTATCCTTTTTTTTTCTTTTTTTTATTTATAATTATTGTGGAATTTCAAGAAGAAACCTGTAGTTTGGTTATTTCTGAACGTCTTCTAGTTTATCTTCTCCATCTGTCAGACATATTTTGACATTTCGCTACATTCAGCGATGAGGATAGTTTAGCTCAGAACGTTTTGAAAAACCAAACTACATTTACAATCACTTTTGAAAATAGTTACCTTCTTTTGGCGAGTTCACCAATCCATTTCAGACACGGTTAGGATGATGTTTTTGTGGCGTAATAGCTGTGTACAACTATGAAGAAATAACAACCTATAACTAAAACAAGGAAATTTTTACATCCCAAAGTTTTTTACACACTTCATTCCTTTCTTACTCATTTCAAATAGCGACATCACTAAGTATTGCTGTGCTATCCAGGGAGGCATTAGGACTACAACCAGTTTGATTATTAATAATACTGCATGACTTAAAAGCAAGGCAAGAATAAATATATAAAATACCAGGAACAATTTGACAAAATTATCTCTGTGCTGAAAATAAAAAGTATTTTAATTTAATAAAAACAAACATATGCTTCAAATAGCTCTATCAGTAAATAATGCTGTGCTAACCACATGCAATTTAACATAAGCTTTTTAAATTGTTAATGTTGAAGGCTGTGATGTGAAAAATTGTAGCTTGGCCGTATTAAATCATCCAGGTCTGGTAATTTTGCTGGCTTTGTGTATCAGACACTTTTCTGCCTATTAGCGGCCTGTGTATTATTTTGTTATTTTATTATAAGTTTATAACAAAGATCTTTTGTCATTTCACGCACTCGAACACTGTGTTTCGTGATTTACAATCATTTTGGTCTGCCTATCCTCACTGTTTTTACTGCCTTCAGTAGTGTTGACAAGCAAAAACACTGACCAAAAAAGCAAGGATAGGCAGAGAAAAATGGTCAGAAATGAACAAACTGTTTGTTCATCACCCTGCAGACCCCATGAGGAAATTTCCCATTTTACAAATTTATAAAAAGAAAACTGACAGAATAACCAACTCAATGAAGATTGTGAAATATGTCTCTATGTTTGGTAAATAAAACAGGCAAGTATTTTCAAATAAGATTAATTGGATTCTTTACTTTCTTAAATAAAAATAAAATTATCGCCCACCCCATCTTATCTGGAAATAGACCTGCTTGCTTATGTACATAATATTTTATAGAGTTTTTTTAATTAACTAGCTTACTGACTAGATTTATATAAGCTCAAATCTACGCTTCCACACACCTAACAGCAATTCCAGCATTTGTGATTTACAATAAAACAACAGCTGGCAGTCCGGGGTCTGTCCAGCCACCGAGGTTGGACTCCAGGGCTCACCAGCTAGATCATTTCAGCCCCCAACGCAATCAGTTTCTAAATTCATTCATACTCACATTCTTCCTTAAATATATTCTTATTTTACATACAATTCACTCAGTACTCGATATTCCTACAAAATTCCGCCATCAACCTTCTCACACTACACATTCACACTAATAATGTTCACTCTAAACACACACTACAAGACACAAGACTATCAGTACTGAATACAATATAACAATAAAACAACCCTGTTTCCTCTGAGAATCGGAACAAGGGACATAGATACTTGTTGCCATGCTTAAGGACAATTCTCACATTGGATGGCATTCCTATATGCCTTTATATGGGGCCTATAAGTGAGCAAGGAATTGAACCCTTCAATTAGGTTGTACACATCGAATAACCTTTTTCTACATAACAGACAGGCACAGGCTTTGACTCAAAAATAATTATGTGTTAACCTCACATGGCCTATTCTTAGTCGAGTCAGGATGACCCTTCATAAGATTCAAATCCTCCGAGGGACACCTATCGACAATGCTCTTGATACGCTTCTCTGTTGATCTGGCCCACATTCTTTTGATCATGTTTTTATTTTTTAGTGTCAGAGGGTTGGATTGCAGTGATTAAGTCGGAAGGTTAGTACATCGTGACCTTAGCCGCCTCATCTGCCTTGACTTGTTTACATTGTTTAATTTATTATAATTTTTTTACAAAAAGAAAAGCTTTATTTATTTTCTCTTAATTACCATTTTTAAAAAAATGGGAACTCTCGACACGACACGCAAGAATGACACAATTACTCAGAAGACAAACACTTTAAGCCCTGAAGATGATCTCAATAAAGATCGAAACGTTGGCACGATAAAGAAAATGTTTTTCTGAAACCTACATTACACCAGACCGCATCTCACGATTTCTAAATAAATATCGATTAATGGTCACTAATCACCACACATTTTAAAAAAACTTTTAAACTAAAATAACAAACTTTTTTTTAGTGCAAAATAAGGAATAGGATATAGAAATAATTTTTGAAAAAATATTTATAACTTGGTTTTATTCTACTCACCAAAAATAGCCCAACAAGAAGTACAACAGAGAAAATTAGAGTTGCAGTCTCTATTGCTATATACATAATAAGATTTATCATCGCTGAAACAGTGAAAATGAAATTAAAAAACTGCAGTAAATGTTTCTTAAAGGAGAAGTGTTAAAACAATATATATATAAAATTGACGATATTTAAAATTGTAGCAGTATTAGTCAATACAAGTGAAGAGAAGTTCACATACCATCGGGATGCATCTCTTCAAAACTGAGCCCAAGTAAAATCACTATAATCACGCTGTATATCTGAGATCGAAATTGTTTTGAGAGAAAAATCATAATGTGTTAAAGGCGTAAACTTACAGCAAGAAGGGTTCCAATGATTTTACACCCAATCGGCAGGGGTATGGCAAAACAAAATGTACGCACCTTGGGCAACCATTTCAGAAATGCCATTAAATCCATCCACTTCTTACTTTATAGGTATAGGAAAATGATAACATCAACAAACATTTGTTTAAAAAACATATGATTGTTATGAAGAGCTGTTTGTCTTGTTTGAATTGAAATCTATTTAATAGTGGAGAAGAAATTAGTTCCAGCTTTAGATCGGAGTTTTTTCACCTTCGTAGTGTGATCAGGCACGTTTGGCTTGATCCTATATCGTGTCTGGTTTTTAATTGTTCTCCATTTCATTGCTTCTTTTGTGTTATCTTTTTGGTTTTTGCTTCCCCTTTATTGATTCATTCACCAGATATAACGTTCACTTTTTTTTAATTCCCTAATCAGTTCTGCGCATTTTATTGTGGGTATACTGCTGGGCATGTTATTCAGTTCTGGCAGTTGCAGGTTTTGCTCACATTGTAGCATTTACATCTTATTTTAGAACTCTGTCTCTTCCTCATAATAGTTGAAAACTACTATAAAGAAATATATCCCTAAACCTAGAAACAATATAAAAATTATTAACAAGATTAAAAGTAATGAAGAATTATAAAAACAAATTGGATGGAATAAATTTACATTCATTAAACATTGAGTCATGATTAAACATCAAACATATATAATATGTATATATTTTGAGTTAAGCATAAATTGATATAAAGTCAAAAATTTATATTTGACACAAGAAAATCCCAAAGTTGTTAATAGAAGCAAGCTAAGTCTCAGTTTATAGTAAAAATTCGTACCTTCAATTACCAGATGCTGTGAAAGTAACTCAAGCCCAAGTTTTAATTCAACTGATTGCATCACCAGTTCAAATACAATTATAATGATATGGAAGAATGTAATTACCATTTCAACAAAATCGACCATCAGCCACAATTTAATAAAACACATTATTTCCTAAAATATTAAAAAGAAGGGTGAGGTATGTTATAACAGGGAACATAACATAACTTGAGTTTAAAGCAAATAATATGTAAAAAGCTCAAGAAAATTCATCATGTTGAACTTTGAAGTAATATTGAAATCTGAGATAATTCCACTATTTTGAATGAAGATCACTCAACCTGGTTTTATACTTTTAAGTAAAACGAAGGTTATCTACAAAATTTTAATGAGCTAGAAGATCTGACAATACTCACAGAGTACACTCCAATTATAAGAAATACAGATGCTATCGTCAGCACTATTTCAAGAATCACATCCAACCCAACACTTACTTTGACTGAAAAAATTAATTAAAACACTGAAAAATATACAGCTACTCCTCGTGTGAAAGGGACTCTTTTAGAGCCAAGTAGCAATTGAAGTAAAAAGTTATGAAAGGATGAAAAAAAAATTAAATACCAGTCGTGTCAAGTTCGTTTACAAAATATCCTTCCATTACGATCAGTGCAAAGTTCACGATCTAGGAATCAGATTGTAAATACCGCATCATTTATCCATTTAAACTCAAGTTGTGTGGAATACAAGGACTTACAATTTCACCAATTCCTATTACCTTAGTCCCAGTCCGCAAAGAAAGTAAACAGCAGCACTTGTCTATTGAAGGTACCCAAAAACATAATTCCATTATACCCACAAAGAGGTATGTTTTGTAATATAAGTATATAAAATACAGAGGAAAGGAGTTTCCTTAATGATAATAATTGGTATGTAAAATTTGTTTAACATCTTGTAAACAAAGTTTTAACATGTGTTTCTTCTTTTTTTTAAAACAAATTTAAAAAAGTGGTGTTTTCAATTCTTACTACAAAACTGTTTTAAATGCAAAAAATTGTACTATATATGCTTGAAAAGCATTTAAGGGAAAGTAATATTAACACCCCTCAAACAATAAGTATTATAAGAAGCATTCACAGTGTTTCAGCAGCAACCAAAGCAACATAATTACAATAGCCATATAACATTCAGTAAATCCTAAGCCGATTGCCATGACGTTTTAAAACCATATGTAGGTAATGTCCATTTAATTAACTATTATACAAAAGCAATAATCAGACCATTTAATCAATCAACTATAAGCATTTACACTTAGTACGACAATTTTAAATTGAAATTTTTGATGTTAAGAACAATGCCTTAATAATACGATGCGTGTCAGAACTAAAGCTGGATGTATGTACAGTTTTACACTCGGCTAAAAGCCTAATCAATAAAGTACATCCACAATTTTGTACATTTTTTAAAGTATAGATATAGCAAAACAATTCCTATACTAAAGCATTTTTCAAAAGTTCTCTTGATATTTTAATCAAAGGGAAAATCATGGAAATGAACCTTATGTACAAATTTTATTGAAAATTATTTTATCATTTCTTAATATATACTGTTTTTCATACTTTTATTTCTTTTGAGGATTGTGAGAGGTTTGAAGACTGTCTTTTAATTATATAAATGCTGTGTTAAATGAACGTTCAAAGGACAACTATTTACAATTAACAATGAACGAAGAAAATGACCAAACTTCAATTAAAAATCCATCCTGGCAATGATTTCGATGTTTGAAGTATTTCCAAGTTAAACTGTGTCAGATCCATAAATCATGAAGTTACCTCAGTTTTCAAGTTAATGCAAAACATCATTAGTTCAACAGTGAACACTTTTAAAGCCAATTTTTTCAGATTTTATTTCAAATACGCAATTAATTGAAATCAGATTGGAAAAGAGTGCAGCAAATACTTACAGCATATATCCCTATTAAAAGTAAGACTGAAGCTACGAGCACCACTATTTCTAATGTTAAGTCCACGCCAAGACTATATTTGACTGGGAAAAAGAAGTTTATATTATATTTTTTAGTGTATATATTTAATTTCGTTTATAAATTATACACCATATTATTTAAAATATAGTATTATTAATGAATGTTGTTAAAATAAAAATTGGTAAGATACGTACGATTCTGCTCACTGTTTTCTATTATTAGTCCTTCGGAGAAAAGCAACACTAAGTTCAAAACCTAAAAACAGTTTTAATGTTTAGGCCATGGCTTTTGCTCCCCTTATTTCTATCCTTATTTTTTTACTATAACATTACACACTTACCACTTCAGTCCAAGCGATTAACTTAGTGCCTAGAATTAAAGAGTGGCAACAGCAGCAAGTATCCACACTAGGTACCCACCAGCAGCAGTTTAACATGTCTATAGATCAGTTACAAAACTTGCGAATCATCAATCCAATATCTCTCTGAGTTGTTCAACAAATAGTAAATAAATCTAAATGATTCAGACTGTTCAATAGCTGTTCATTTCAAAGATTTTTAAAAATAAAATCTGCAACAAAAATAAAAACATATGTTTAATTCTATGAAATCATGTTTTACAATTCCTGTAAATGCCTACTGTCCTTAATCTTATTTATTGCCACATTGTATTGTAATCTACTAAATAAATTTTTTTTTAAATTATTTATCAGCCTTTGAAAAATACAAAAACCTGCATGTGTGTTTACTTCAGTAGTGAAGTAATTCCTTCCAAAATATACAGCTTACTGCAAATTAAATAATTCATACTGGACTGGCTTGGGTCATTTATTGGGTCTGTCTTCACTCGTGTGTATGCTGTAATAGTGAAATGTGTTTCACCATTGCCCCATCTTCACTGAGGAACTTAAATAATTTCAGGCTGATTGTACACGTATCATTTTCCTACTTTCTCAAATATAATGCACATTTTGATAATATGACAAATTTCGATGTAGGACATATTACACTCTTAGGAGATTTCAAAAGACATTTGTTAATTCAATTAATTATTCTTTTTATGTAAGGTTTTGGTTGAGATGACAAAGTCACAAACGGGATTCGAACCCGCCCCCAGCCAAAGGTCATGGGTCAAATCCAGCTCGTGACATTAACTTTTTCATTTCAACCAAGACCTTACATAAAAAGAATAATTAATTGAAATAAGTGATTTGGTCGATTAGACCACTAAAACATAAATGGATTAATGTTATTTGTTAAATTGACACTAGACCAATATTAATTTAACTTTAATATTTTTTCTTCAACTTGAAATTAATACTTACATGAAAAACAAATATAATAAAGCCATAATGAAAAAATAAATCAAAAACAATTAATACATAATGGGTATAATTAATTTATTGGACATCGATAAAAATTAATCTAAATTTTTAAACAGTATATATGGATAATTTAATTTGTTTTTATGAAGACATTTTCAATGTTATGCTTGATTAATCAAGTTGTGTCATAAATAAATGAAATCTTAACATAAACTTCACAATAAAAACAATATGTGTTGCTAACAATCATAAGTACCAATAGGGTTAAGCTAAGAAAAATAACTAAAACCATTTTTAAACAACTTTATTCAATGTAGATTTTTTTAAATTTATTGGTTACTATTACAAAATAATGATTTCTCCAATATTATGTCGATGGATGAATTAAAAACAAGTTGACTTTTCATGATGATATATTTTTTACTGTGTAGAAACAACACAGCAGCTTTTGTAAATACGAAGCTTAAATTATTCACAGACTGGTGTGAAATTCACCAATAATTCTTTCCAGAATTTAACACATGATTTTTAAATAATGACTAGAATTATAAGTAAAAAGATGGTTAACGTTAAAATCATTTTATTAATTTAAAAAATCTAAACAAAACAAAATTCAAATACAATATATCTAAAAGATAAAGTAACATGTAGTTTTTTATTGTTAAAATCATTATATTTCCACAATGAGCAATTCACAGGGGAAGAAATTTTATGGATTGATGAACTCTTCTTGGTAATAGTTGTAAACCACTATAAAGAAGTAGGAACTTAACACTAAAAACAATGAGAAATTGTTATTAACATGGTAGTTTAAACATTTACATTTAATAATATATGTCTGAGTGGGCAACACGGTTCAAGTGCAATCACCAAGACGCCAATAACATGTTATGATGAAAATGGCTTTAACTGAACAAGGAAGAAACTGTATATGTCCCGTTTTTGGATTGCTGATGGCACACATTATCTATAATTCTGACTTTTATAAAGAGCTCAAAATATTTATAACAAAGAGTTTACTGAATGGAAGAATATAAGTCTGAAGAAGGCGACATCTTGTGTTTTTATTACAGACATTTGCAACCATTTGTGAATTGTTTTATCAAAATTGTTTATTTAAAATATTGCTCTATGTATGTGTATGTGTTTAAATTATTTGCAAACACAGGGCAACAGATGATAATATAAAATAAAATGAAAAGCACACATTAATTAAATATTTGAAATTAAGTTTCTTGTGAACAGTATGGAATTTATAATAAATTATTATTTTTGTTAAGATTGATATTCATGATTGTACATTTTCATGATAAATTTATATATTTTGCTTGCATATTTATTAATACACTCATATCTTGTTAACACGTCAGCAATACAATACACAGATTTTCTGGCTATACCTTATTTACTAAATTTAAAATTTAATTCCGCTCTGTATAAGTAAAAAAAATTCTGTTCAGAGTTCAAAATTATAACTCTTTTATAAAAAGAATCTTCTCGATCTCATAGGATTATGCTACTTAGTCAACTTATGTCAGTAATTACATAATCAGTCACAAAAGAAGATTGAAAATTATTTTATTACCTTCGTTTAAGACGTGGAATAGTAAAAACAGTGATCCAATTTTCTTAGGAAGATGCCCAAGCAAAAGTTCAACCATCAATGCGAAGCAATGAATGGCACCTGATATTATGAATATAAACTCACAGACCAACCAAAGATTGACTAGCTCCATCATTTTCTGAAACATAGTCCACACAAATCTACCAATGTCTATATATATACATATATATGTATAATTTGTATACATCAAATTTTAAAGTGTAAGCCAATTATTACTCACATTATTCAATGCTATCAAAAGTAATACAGATGCTACCACCATCATAACATCCAAAAGCACATCAAAACCAGCACTAGCTTGCCCTATTTAACAAAAAAATCTAATAACAAGATATAATTAGCTTGCTTTTTTAAATAAAAGTAAGTGTAATAAAAGTATAATAAAGAAATCTATTTTCTTGAATTAAAACAGCAAATGATTTATAAATCCTAAAGATCAGCCCTGGTCTCCCAGTTTGCCTATATTGGAATAGTCCATCATACTACAGCAGTAATTAAATAAAAAATTGGAAATGAAAAGGCCACCATTATCCTATTTAAAAAAAGTTTATTATTTCCTCATTTGTGATACTATATAATGTAACAGTTTAATAAATAAAAAAATTAGGTACATAAACACGAAAGTGCAGTAATATCACTTCTGAACATTTTGGCATCGTGCTGAGTCCACACTAATTGAAGAGAAATGATCAAATAAATTATTTATGTATTTTAATTGAATAAAGAGTAAATCTTCTATTCCATGTTGTTTGTCCAAATGAAAAAATAAAATTTATATTATACTGTCTGGTGATTAGTGGGCACTCTCGACACGACACACAAGAATACACAATTACACAGAAGACAACTTTGAGCACTGAAGATGATCTCAATAAAGATCGAAACGTTGGCACGATAAAGAAAATGTTTTTCTGAAACCTACATCACACCAGACCGCATCTCACGATTTCAAAATAAATTATATTATACTGTATTATAATCACAAGTCAATTTTGTACTTTTACTGAAGTAAAGTACCATTGATTTTGACATGGACAGTTAATTTCAACAAGACAGGACCTTATTTCAAATTCAATAACAAATGTGAAGAATGCCACAGAGATATGTGGACTAGATAAAGTAATTAAACATTACTTAAAACAATAAACACTATTATGTATCTCTAGTTGATCACTGAGCGGTTAGGCATCTGTTCGCCACTCTATCTAAGTTTGAATCTCACCCCATGTATTTTTAAATGTAAATAATTTATTTATTTAGAAATTGTGAGATGCAGTCTGGTGTGATGTAGATTTCAGAAAAATATTTTCTTTGTCGTGCCAACATTTCGATCTTTATTGAGATCATCTTCAGGGCTCAAAGTGTTTGTCTTCTGTGTAATTGTGTCATTCTTGCGTGTCGTGTCGAGAGTGCCGAGAGAATGTAAATAATATGAAGAAAGTATTGCAAATTGGCTCACTATTCATCCACAACCCCTTGGGTGTTGTGGACATTGAGCCCTCCTGTATGACAAGATTTTACTTTTTTTTCTATATAGCTCTGGTATTGCCCGAAAATTTCTAAACAGTTGAGTAATGATAGAAAATAAAGTTGGCAAAAGTTAATTCAAACAGAACTTTTAACAATTATGTATAACTAAATATTTTAAATTGTATTAATGTAAAAATTAAAAGTAAAACTTGGCCACAGCCTAAATTTTATATCGTATCAAATTTATTTCAGCATTTGGGCAATTTGTTAATCAATTCAGTTTTTTTATGAGTTTCATACCAGATAGCAATTGTGTTAAAGTCAAGCATAAACCTTCCGATAATAATTAAATTATAAAGTTAAATAAATAATAGCTGTATTTAATGAGAAAAATTAATTTGAACAAACCAATAGTAGGAAGATATGCCATAAGTGTGCCTTCTGAAGCAATGAGTGCCAAATTATACACCTAAGAGACACAGGTTCAATCAAGTTATTTTTTAAATTTTGCAATAACCACTTTTTCTACTTACAATTTCAAATATTGCAATCAGTTTAGTCCCAGTTTCTAATGAATGACAAAAGCAACATCCTTCAACCACAGGAAGACAAGGGCAACAGTTTGAGCAGTCCATTTTATAGGAAGTATATTTAAAAAAAATTAAAATGGTTGTAGATAAAACATTACATCAAATCTTTTTTTCTTTGATTAAAAATTAAACATCTTGTGAATAAAAAACCAGATGTTATTCACTTTCATCACTAAGAATAAGAATAATTTTTTTTTTATTTGTACATGTGCACAATAATATATACATTAATTTTAGAATGTAGGGAAAGTGACATTTCACTATGTCTTCCTACTATTTACACTGGTCATTTGTTTTTTTAATACAAATCGGTACGAGTAATTCCATATCAGTTTGTGGGAAAAAAAAATTTATGTTAACAAACAACCACAAGCAAAGGGATGAAATCTATATATAAATTAAATAAATGCATATACAAAGTGGGGGACCGCGGTAGCCGAGTGGTTAGCATGAGAGACTCTCACGCCGCGTTCGATTCCCACCGTCGCCTCTGGCCCTTTTTTCCCGATAACCCCCAAATGGAACAACATATATAAGAGATTCGTCATGGCTAATATGCAAAGATCATAAGGCCAATAAAAAAAAATTTAAAAAAAAAATACAGTGTAGATGAGAAGTGAATAAATAAATAAATAAAATAAATTATTAAATACATAAATAGGTTTGTAAATATTCTTATTTCTATAAATTTGATAACTATGTAAAGTTTATAAAACAGGTACATTGTGTTTGATCCTCTTATGTTTCTAGTTTGCATTTGTTGGATATGCACCTATGGATCTGCAAATAGGATTTGAGGAGACACTCATACACTTAAAGAATTTGCAGACCCATTTCATGTTAGTTCGCTCATGTAAGTCTGTCAATCTATAATATCTAGGAGAGGCAGTGGCCAGCCGCAGAAATTTATTTTGAATTACCTGTAATTTATTGAGGTTTGTTTTACAGGTAAAATTCCATGCTGGGCAGGCATGTAGCAACATTGGTTTAATAAATACTTTATAAATTAGTAGTTTATTGAGTTGGCTCATGCCTGACTCCTTGCTGAGCAATGGGAAAAGTGATCGTATAGCCGCTTTCCCGTTGCCTACAAGATTTCTTGTGTGAGCACCAAAATTCAATTTGGTATCAAGAGTGATCCCTAGATATCTCATATTTCTTAACCACTCAAACGACTTCCCCTCGAGTAATATGTTGTGGGAGAGCAGGGGCCTACGCTTAGTGAATAGCATACAACTGGTTTTGGAAGAGTTAATTTTCAGCTTCCATCTAGTGCAGAACCGTCTTACTCTTTCCAGCTCCTTATTAATGTTTTTTACGATCGCACTAATCCTCCAGGATGAACTGTAAAGCGCGATGTCGTCGGCGTACAAAGCGAGTTGGCATGATTTGGGCGTAGGCAAGGCATTTAAAAATATGCAAAAAAGTGTAGGTCCCAGAATTGAACCCTGAGGCACGCCTGCTTTGGTGGCAAAACGAGAGGAGAGAGTATTATGAAGGGATACTCGAAAAGACCTCAAGTGAAGGTAACTGTGTACGACCTTGATAATGTATTTTGGGAAGTTGTATTTAATAATTCTGTAAATTATACCATCATGCCATACCGTATCAAAGGCTTTCTCCAAATCAAGAAGGACCAGTCCCGTGTGTTTTTTAATGTTGAAACTTTCAGTTACATAATCAACTATTCTAGCAAGTTGACCTACTGTGCTAAGGGCTGGGCGGAAGCCAAATTGTTCATTCTTAATTATATTATTGGTGACTAGATGAATTTCGATACTTTTTGCTAACACCTTTTCAAAGATCTTGCTCAAAGAGCTGAGTAGGCTGATAGGTCTGTAACTCGGCGGAAGTTCTTGCGGCTTGTCGGGTTTTTTAATATATATCACTTTGGAAACTTTCCAGCACTTCGGGAAATACCCCAAGAAAAGGATGGCGTTGAAGAGGTGAGTCAGAAGAACCAGAGCTCTTTTTGGAAGGTTTTTTAGCGTAGTATTTGCGATTCGGTCCAGACCTGGTGCTTTTTTATTTCTTCGTGTATGTACCCCCGACTATCCTGGGGAGTGACAATCTTGCACTGCTGGGGAAAAAAAGGGTTAGTGCAATTTGCCATGAATCTCTTAACTTGATTAGTAACAGCGTTTTGAAGATAGCGTGGGCCTTGATTGGTGGTGAGAAGGTGGACTGATTGAAAATATTCCCCCATTGCATTCACCTTCTCATCATCAGTCATCACTAAGATATTTATATATATATCTGTATAGACGAATCTGTTTTTACCTAAGTGTTATAGTTTTGAGTGGATGAGTCAGTGGCAATAGGAAAATTCGACATCTTTCCCTCATGTCATCATACACACACATCACACATACATACACACACAAGAGAGACAGAGAGAGAGAGAGAGAGAGAGGGAAGGAAAAAATAGGAGTAATACAGGAGAAAAACAACAACAACAAAACAGAGTAAAGGGAAAGATGAAAGGCAAAATGAAAGAAGAATGAATATCATTTTATCTTTAAAAAATCTCACAAATTAGGACACAAACAACCTCTTTTACTTTAACAACAAAGAGGTTGAGTGCAAGGCAAACAGGAAAGAAAGAAAGATAGAGAGCAAGAGATAGAGAAAAAGTAGGAGTGATATAGAAGAAAAGTGAGAGAGAGAGAGAGAGAGAGAGAGAGAGAGAGAGAGAGAGAGAGAGAGAGAGAGAGCCGGCATAGCCTTGGACCATCATGATAGGTCCCTGCATTATAGGAATACTTTATAACACTACCATGAGAAAAGTATGTCCTATACCTGCTCTAAAACTAGAAAAATTCATAAATGTTACACAATTTTTTTATGCAACTGTCATTGTATGATAAAACAGAATAACTCTTAATATGACAATGTTTATTAAATTATTATTTAATTTCCTCTTTACAAATCAATTAAAAAGACAATGACATGTCACTTTTAATTTTAAATCTACACCTGAACCACTTCTAAAGGCGTAGTTTCTGTTAGTAGTTTTTCTGCCTGTGCATCATTTTCTAAATAGTAGCTGAAGACTACTATGAAAAAATATGTATGGAGTGCTAAAATAACAATAAAAATCACAACTCTCAAATATCTTTGATTTTATTATTTAAACAAAAACAAAAGGAATGCATTTTGAAGAGTGGTCATAGAGAAGTAATAAAAACTTGATGATTGTTAAGAAAGGAAGATTTAAATTGAATTAATCCAATGTTAAATCTTAGAAATAACAAAAGTCAAACTTACCAATGAAGATTGCAGATAATACCAGTTCTTCGAGACATTTTAAGAAATTAAGTTTTCCAAACACCAAGAGTAATAACATTAATAAACATTCAATAATTTGTAACAAAACAAAGCAAAATACATACACCAACCAAGGTAAAACAAACTCATGATTTCCCTGCAAACAAAATACAAACACAGAGGTAAAGAGTTGAAACAGATAAAGATGATACAAAGTAATACTTTTTGTGTAGGCACAGAAAAATGTTTGTAATGAAAGAAACAATTTAATTATAATTCAAAGTTTAACAGTACAATTTAAAATTTATGTCATCAAAATATAGTAATATTTCAATACTCACTGACAATGCAGCTATTGGAAGGAACACAGTTACAATGAATAGCAATAAATATAACATTTTGTCACTACCTGGTAAAAGTAAAAATATTAAATACATAGAGGAAAATTTATCTTAATAATTTCAATGGATTTTTCCTTAAGGAATTGAAATAAACATAAACTTATACCATAATGGAACGAGGCCGCATAAACTGCTGTAACTAAAGAGCCAATCTATACAAACAAATTAAATAATTAGATTATATCAAATTTCTGATGAAATTGTAGACTTACAAAATAAAAAGTTGTAATCATGGCTATTCCAGCTGTCAGGGAACCACATACACAAAAATTTTGTGTTTTCGGATAAAATAAACAGATAATAGGACAAGTCATATTCAGGGTAAAATTAAAAAAAATTAATTGTTCAGAGGTTCGTTTCTGTTGGTCTTTTATTGTCCATACCCTAATTCAAAATGTTTTTCTCAACATCTGTTTCTCTTTTGATTCATGACATAATTTGGTTAAATAAAAAATTTTAAAACATTGTTTAAGAAAATAAAACGCATTCATGTCTATATTATTAACAAAGGAAAATATTCAAAGAATTGTCTTTTTATATTTCATATATTTCACTTTTTATTTAGAAATGAATATTACTGATTTATATAAGCTCAAGTATGTATACACTCAAACAAAACTACATCGAGTGAAACCCAGAACTTCCCACAGCTCACCGGCAATTCCAACTTTTTAGTAATTTACAATAAATTACCACCAGGCATCGAAAATCGCCCACCCCAGGGATTGGCGTTCTAGTCCTCAGTCTTATTTGTCCAGCCACTGAGGTTGGGCTCCAGAGGCTTTCAACAGCTAGGTCATTTTAGCCCCCAACGTAATCAGTCTCCAAAACCAGATCTATTCACACTCTCCTTACTCTTAAATGTATTTTTACTATCTAAATACCATTCACTTAGAGAAGTGGAGTACTTGTAATTGAGGGTCAATGCGGTACTTCAACAATACATTTACACTAATAAATACATTCAGGCTCAATATGCACAAAGAAACACAAAGCGATATATAAAGTGCTACATACAGTAACTGGGTAGAGGGGACCTGGATACTCCACGCCGTGCCCAAGCAAAATTCTCATTTTAGGTGGTATTCTTACAAACTCTCAATATGGATCCAAGAAATGGCAAACTTCAGTTAAGTGGAGTGCACCAAGTAACCTTTATCTATATGTTGGATACATACACAGGCTTTAGTTTGACTGAGTGTCAGCCTCTTACAATTAAATTAAAATATTAGTATATTGTGTTTTATTTAAATTAATAATAATTTCAAAGCCATAGTAAAGTACTAAAATTCCTTGAAAGCTTGATAAAAAAAAAACAGCGTTTTTGTGTTGTTTTTTTTTTGGTTTTTTTAAAATGAATATTTATAACCTCTGTAAGCTATAATACATTATTCAAATTTTTTTTTATTAGTTAAATTTGCAATATTTTAATTTGCAATTCAGAGTATGACGGACTATGTTGTGTTAATGTGAAACGAAACAAAATTAAGACCTAATTCTTGTGGATCTTACACCATCCGAAAAATAGTGGCAAAGGAATTAAAAAATAAAGATTTGATTGCAATTGTATATAAAAAAAAAGGACTTTAATTAAAATATTTTTAAAAAGGAACAACAATGAAGGAATAGTGGCTCTGCCGTGCTTCAGCACATTATTTTTAAATAAATAAATAACCAAATGCATTCATTAATTAAAAAACAACAAAAAGGCTCACTGGAGTTGAAAAAAAGGTATGATGCGAAGTCAACAAAAACTGTAGGTTGAGAAAGCGATGAATCCAAGTTAATGGCTCAAGTCTGCAAATTTCTTCCAATCAAGAACAACTTCCGACCAACTGCCCTGGTTCTCTCAATTCCCGAAGTGTTCGGCGCTTCAACCAATCAGCGAAATATGGTCATTCTTGATGCTCTGGCATTATAAGAGGCAGACCTAAAGAGGATGCACAAGACATCCAGCTACTGGTGGAGTACAACATAATCCTTCTCACTTATTAGGAAATACTTTTTGAGAAAACCATTAAAAAATGGAATCTTGCATAGAGTAGAGTTCAACAAAAGGAAATCTTTTCCAGCCAGAGGACAGGTCAGATTAACCTTACGAGAATCATGCTACACTGTACAAGAACCTAACAAGAAATACATGGACAAATTTGGACTTACACCATTGCCGGCTAGCATATACCATACACGGTAGTCTTGTTCAGGATATGGATCATCTCATAATTCACTGTCCAGTGCTGGAGGCAGTAAGAGCCAGGGTCATTTAGCATCTCACTCTGACTAGCACGATCTGGCTGTGCTACCAAATTCACCTCATCAAAAAAGAAAACTTTACAGGGTTTTTTTGTACTACAAAATTAAATTTGCGTTTGTACCTTAATTATGTTATACTAATTTTGGAGCATGTAGAGAAATAAATTTAAAAAATTGTATTTGTAGCATTGTAGGTCTGTCTTAAAAAGGTATAGAATTATTTCCTCAGCCTACTAAAGAAAATTCTATTTTTTGTAGAAGTTAGACAACAAAGTCTTCTTTTTTTTAGATTCCTGCATATCAAAGCATTTAATTATTATAAAATCTTTTGTTCGTCTTTACTATTGTTCAACCTGGATTAATAAAATACCTGAAATTGTAGCAAACAACATTTTTGAAAATTAAAATATAAGTGTATATTATTTTCATTTAATCCTTTATTACACGTAAAATGGCTGTCCATTGATATAAGCAGAATTCTCGCTTCAAGTTGAAGAGTATTTCTACATTACAAATTGTTTTACATAGAAGTTGTAAATCAGTCGCGGTAGCCGAGTGGTTAAGGCATCAGACTCTCGGCTAGTAGATCCCGTGGTCGTGGGTTCAATCCCCACCTTTGCCTCTGGACTTTTTCCGACGCCTAAGGGGACCAGTAGCCGCAATTGAAAGAAATTGACAATTTGGTCCCAACCCCCTTCAAAAATGAGTTTCATTGATGGAGGAACACCGGCACACCGGGGGCTCAAATTCTCACTTGTGTTGCGAGCCCCAAAAAACGGAGCCAGGGATAAAGTACAATAAGCTGTACAGCTGCAGTGCTCAGGAGGGAACTCCTCCAGTTCTTGGTATCCATTATAAAAAAAAACCTTTGAAGTAACAGTGTGAAATTTCTTCTTGAAATCTGCAGGTTGTTGTAGTTTCTGACCATTCCTGTCTATTTAGTCTCATTTCTGTTTGTCAGGGTTTTTCAGCATTGAGAGAACTTCAATGTACACATTAATGTTACATTACACATGTGATTTATATATCTATATTCATATTATTTTTATTTTTACTACAAAATTGTTCGTTTTAGCTTGGAGTAGTTATCTTTAGTTTTATGTCAATGTAGAGGATATTTACAATTTTTGAAAGAAATACTCAATCTTTAAATTAAGAAAATTTAAAATGAAAAGGTTACCTACTGTCAAAGAGTGCTGTTGTTGTTGTTCACTTAAAGCTGGAACAATATCACTTGCTGTCATTGCACTTGTAAGTGTTTCTTATATTAAAATAAAAATTTTAAAAAGAAATATATTAAATATACAAAGCCACATAGCAAAAGAAATCTTGAGTTGGAAGTTTTATTCCCAAGGTGTCAATTTTTGCCCCATTAGAAATAATGAAACATTAAATTTATTTAATATATTGCAGGTTCTGGGCTTGGGTTACATTTCAAAGTGTGCAAATAGCCTTCAAAACAGAATAGGCAGACGCGATACACCTTTCTCTGAAGCTGGTTACAAACTCAACAAAGTTAAAAGAGAATGTTGTTAGCTAATGTTGTCTATTATTTTCAGACAAGATTAAGTATATCGTAGGAATAATTACCGGAAGCATATATGCTATATTTGGCTTTATTATGCTTATTGGAGCATGCACTGTATGTACTTTCATACTTCAGTTTATTTCGTAGTGACAACTTTGTTTTTAGACTTCATGGTTAGTCCTACAGTGGTTAAAAAAAGGATCTCTATCCTGAAAGTATGGATCCCTTTTCTTTAAGCATTCTAGGACTAATCATGAAGTCTAAATTACAAAGTTGTCATTACAAAATAAATTGAAGTGTGACAAAATACTTTTATATATTTATTTATTTTTATTTTATTTATTTATTTATTTTTTTTAGAAAAATGTGTGTTTTTTGAAGTTTTGTGTTATCTTGTCTTTCATAGCTTTGGTCACTGAAATACTAGTATTCGTCACAACGATCATTCTCCATTTCCTTTATACAGAAATTTTTTATGAGTTATTGATAACAGTCTTTGTAAATTCACTCTATTTTGGTATTATTTTTTATTATGTATATTCATCTTACCAATATTTTCTCATCATTCAATACTTTAATGCAATTTACAGTACTTTTCTTTTTTATTGTATTATTTAAGCATGCTATTTTTTCCTTAATGCTATTGAATAATTTGTTTATTTTAAGCAATTCAATTCTATTTACTTTTGGTGGTGAACTCATACGCTTTGTCGATAGCAGAAGATGATTGAACAACTTTTATTATATAAACAAAACTTACATGTAACTCGTTTTTTTATTTATTTTCATGTAAAATGTTTCAAAGAAATAAAAATATTGACATAATGAGCTTTTATATTTTTTTATACTTATTTAAACTAAAGGAACTGATTTTTTCCAGGCTAACAGTAATTTAATCCTGTGCAAATAAAGAAATAAACACAATTAATTTTAATTTTTACTACTTTTACTTTATTAAATTTTGTCAATTATTGTTACATTACCAAGTGAGCAATGAATAATTTGCAACTAATCATTGAATTTTAATATCAAATCATCAGTATTGAAATTTTTACCGTACATTTTGAAACATTTCTATTCAGACTTTCCTAACTATGAACTGGCATTGGGCACCTATTTGTTGAACTACTCAAATGTGTTTTGGTATTGCGCCATCTTCAGTGAGGAACCCAAAGAAGGAAAAGGAGCAAGAATTTACCGACCCACAGACTCTCACTATCGACTTCCCAACTATACTGTGATTTTTAATGAATTTTTTTAATATCATTTGATAAGAATTTGTTTAGCTGATTTGTATACTGTTGACATACTCCACTTTATATATATATTTTTTTTATTAACAGTATATTGGAAATCTCAAAAATACTATTAAATAATAAAAACAATTAGAAACTTTCATCTGAGAAATTTATTACCAAGTACAATACAAACATTGAAACTTGCTACCTGAAACTCATGCAAACTGTTTCTTTTATAAATTGGTATTAATTCCAGTAGTCTTCAACGTAGAAGTTATAAACAATTATGTATGCGTATGAATATGCAGCTGGAAAGAGTTAGTTAAAAAGCATAAGCAATCATTTAAAAAATTTAGAGATTTTAAGTCATAGAAAGATTATTTTGAAGACTGAAAATCTCCTAAATTCCTTTGAAATATAATAAAATTGGTCCTTACATATCCATAGAAGATCAGCAAACAACTTCGCAATCGCATCCATATTTTTTAATGATATATCCACAATATTTATTATAATATTAATTATAAAAAGAAGTACTATGCAAGCAGCGAATATTAGCCATAGTTTGATTAATAATGAAGAGTGCTAAAACATTTTTTTTCTTTGGTTGTGGTTTTTGTGTACAAACAATTGTTACAAAATTAAAAGATATAGAGAAATTGTTCTTATTGTGACAAATTTGGAAGAAGTACATTAAACTTACGTTAAAAACTGCTGTTATGAGAATAATACCTCCATAAAGCGTTACAAGCAATGGAAAGTCTACAACGAAACATTTTTTATTGACACAAGTGAAATAGAATCTTTATTCTAAGTTTTTAATGTTTACCTCCTACGCTTTGTTGGGTCACTCTTGCAGAGAATATTGCAATTGAACCTACTGCCTGAAAACAAAATTTTTGTTCTTACTGAATACAATTGAGACAAAATGTTTTAAGACTTACAATGAAGACCCAACTGATTATTTTAGTGCCAACATGTAATGAGTGATAGCAGCAACACTGCTTTGTCCTCGGTAAGAAATACAAATTTACCCCTTTTGTAGCCATACTTAATTTCTTAGATTGTACAATAACTTTTTTCAGAGGAAACTGGCTTTTAAAATCAGGTTTTTTTTTGCAAACTGTATCTAACCAATGACAGTGGCTATAATAATAAATTTGAACAATACCTATCAGAAAATTATTAATTTTAAGTTTTGTCAAACTGAAGTTGAAGTTTTTCTCAGAAAGTCTGTTGTCCTGATAAAGTTAAAAGCCATTTCAGGTATTAAATAAACACAACTACTAGATTATTTAAAAGGAAAAAAATAACAAAAACACATGTTTCTATATAAAATGTAATGTCTTCTTTAAAAATTTTATGCCAACTACTGCACAACGTAAACTTAATTAATTTTAGGACAACTTAAGATTATGGATTAAAGTTTACAAGGGAATTGATTTGTTAGCATTAATCTTTTTATTTCTTTTTTATTATCACTATTAAAATTTTACTCTGATAATAATCATGTGTGAGCAGTTTTGGATTAAAAAAATATTTGGAATTAAAAAAGGCAAGTTTTAAATATCATATCAAAGAAATGGAAAAATTTCCAACTGTATCAAAATGCTGTTGCTGCTGCTCACTGTGTACCGGTTCAAAGTTGATTGGTTATTGTTTTGCTGTAAGTTGCTTTTTAAACTGAAAAATAAAAATCATTGATTTATTGTCTAACTAGTTAGTTTTCAGATCATTTTAAAACAATGTATGATGCTTTTCTAAGTAAAGAGTTTCATTTGAGCAGTTTTAAGTAGACAAATAAAAATGAGTAAATTTTAGTTGTGACAAATAAAGGAGTGAAAGTGGGTAGACATTTTAAAAATCTGTACATATGGGTGTTCCTTTTTAAATTACCTTTCTCACGTAAACTATAATTTATGTATAAAAGAACTTTGAGTTAAATTATCAACTTGATGATGCTTCAATGTTTAAATATGTAAATATAGTCTCAAGGTGAAGAAAAAGAAGCTCAATTGTCACTGATCATCTTGGTTTTCATTGTCAGATATCATCTTCAGTGGTTGGTCTTCTAAAATTGTTCAGAACCGTGGTAGCAAAGGGGTTAAGAGCTTGACTTGTATTTGCCAAGCTAGTAGTCTTGGGTTCGAATCCTGGCACAGCCCATGGTTTTTTAATTGAGAATAGTATGAAAGAAGTATTGTAAAGTTGTTGACCCCCCTCGTCCACACCACCCAACAAGTATTTGGACGTTAAGCCCTCCTTTTGACACGAATTACTTTTTTTTCCAAAAGTTATTAACAGCGGTGGTACCATATTCAGGCTAAAATATATCTTTTGTAGGGAGAGCTTTGTTGAACGGGTCATCTGTCCCAGCTATGCTCATTTTTATCCAAACCGTAATTTCACCAGTAATTTTAATTACAAATTTGCCAGTTCATTTCCTTAAATCCCCTCATTTTATGCAGGAAATTAATATTAAAACTGATACAGAACAACTGGAAATGGCAAGATGTGAAAACCTATGGGAAAAATCTGAAATGACCAACGCACGTTTGTTTTTTAATGTATTCAAATTGTTTCAATATATTGTATTATTCAATATTTAATAATATATTTTTCAATGAGTTAATTATAAATTCATTTTACAAAATGCCAAAGTTATAAAGATTTTTTTTATAACAAACTGATCTTTGATTCTATTACAAGTTTTAAAATATGGACTCAATATTTACATAAGAAAAGTGTATTGACCAACAATAATATATTAATAGGACATAACAGACAAGATTTTATGCACATAAGAAAATATCCTTTTGACTCCAAATAAATATAAATAAAATGTTTCACTTGCTTTGGTATAAATTATATTTTTATGCTATCAATTCAATAAGTTTTAATGAAGAATACAGTTTAATTTTTGCTATATTCATTTCTATAACAGTTTTTCTTTGCATTCTTATTTGTATAACAAATATAAATTTACGGTTTTAATTTTGGAAATGTAAACTTTGAATTAACTGTTTAAAAATTGGACACTTTAGTTTATACATTTAATAGTAGTCTTATAATCAAAATATAAAATAAATTTCAGATAAATGCACTAAACAGCATTTTATACTATAGTCTACTTCTAGCTGGGTACGTTTATTTTAAAAAACAGGCAGTAGAAACATTTTCAGGTATAAAGTGCTTATGTGTAATTAAATATAATGTAAAGTAATAGCATAAACTTGTTTCTTTTTGTGTTTTAGACAGCATTGGCCTAAAAACTGTATGGGTTATTCAAATTATTGTACAACTAATTAACTTTGGTTCTGCAATATTGCTATTGATTGGAATTTCTCAAGTAGGTCCCTATAACCATATCATGTAATTTTATGTATGTTTATATGTATTTAAGTGACAGAAAGTACGTATTTAATATTTAACATAATACTTATATTCCAGAAAAGCCGTTATTTGATGAAGATTTGGATTATTATAACTTTGGTTTTTATCATAGTTGAGACAATAGTCAATGCCATAGAATCATATTTTACGGAGCCTTCAATAGCTGTGCAGCTTTTGGCAATAATAATACGTTTTGTTTTGACAGACAGTACGATCTTTTTTTTTTATTATGTTTTTAGTAACATTTGTATTTAAGTTTCAATTAATTAACAAAAATTTGTTTCATTTTTTTAGTTATCACACTTTATTTTGTTTGTGTGGTGAATTCTTACTCCCTGTCACTTGATTCTGAAGGTCAGTCATTTTCGGAATCTTAGGTAATAGTTTTTACATAAAAAAATCCAAGAAGAACTAGAGAAAATTATTTTAAGGTGATATATTAGGTTACTCTGTAGTTAGTTTAGACAAACTGAACACACAAAAAAAAGTCGTTCAATTTTTATTTTACAGAAACAGATAATAAAAAATATTACTTTTATTGTAGAAATTTAATTTAAACTGTTTGTTGCAGACTGACGTTCTAGATGAACTTATTTTTGATGTGGTTCAATGTTGGAATATGAACATATTTACAACCAGAACATGATGCTGATAATTAAGACAGAAAAAAAATCCTACATCGCTCAATTGATTTTATACAATATTGCTGCTTGAAAATATTTTAAGTGTTTTCAACTATCAAATTTTATCCAGTCAAACATATGGCTAGAAATAGTTGTCTTGAATTTTTTTTTTAATATGTGCCAATCATTTATTAAAGAAATATTTTAATATAAACCATGTGTTGTAATTGTTAACTATTTATTTAGTAAAGTTAAACTGTAGTAGTTTTGTGTTTATAGATATAGAAAAATGAGTTGCCTCAAGGTTTGCAGTTGGCTACCTCGGGTCAAAACATGCTGCTTTTGCCACACGCTTCCAATCGGAACGCAGATAATTGGTTGGGTTTCTGTGGTAAGTATGATTTCAACATTGACAAAAATATGAGTCCATGAAGGATATTTGGTTCTATAGGTGCTATCACTCCTCGGTTTGACAGCCCAAGGAGTCGCAGTGCACGAACTCAATGATAGAAGTTGTAAGTAGATATAAATTCAAACAAAATATAAATTAATGCCTGGATTTATCAAGTTTATTTTTTAAAGTGTTTGGAACGGCAATGATTGGTGCAGTTTTGGTTCTAATATCAGGAATTTTACTACTTGTAGGAATATACACTGTGAGTACATCGTAAAAAAAATAACCATTTATTTTGACAATTAATTAGAATGATTGTAATACAATAACCCTCAGATGGTTTTAAACCATGAGGAATGTCTTTCTTACTCTGTAATATATACTGCCGGTTTGTAAACTTTGTACATATATATATTAAAGAATAAAGACATATAGTAGTAGTAATACAATAATGATTATTTAAAATTGCATAATTTATTATTAAATTCTAAACTACAACAAGGTTAAAAAGGGATTTTTAGCTTCATTTTTCATTCACCTGTGGCATTAATTTATTTTTATCTTGCAGAAAAATAATGTTTTAGTACAAATATGGTTGGTCATTGCATTTTGTACTATTATCTGGATGATTATTGAACTTTGCTTTATACTCATATATTTCTTGGAAGGACATTTGCATTTTAACACTTTCTTATCTTTACTCATAAGAGCGATACTATGGTTGCGTAAGTTTTTGCTTGAAGTCATTTTTCACACATTAATTACAAACGTTTACATTTTTTTTTTTAATATTTCAGTGATCATGTCATACTTCCTCGTAGTAGTTTACAGTTATTATGACCAACAGTTTGGGCTGTAAGGAAAAGAAACAGAAAGTGAAAGTCAGCAGGAGTCAATACAGAAAGAAAATTATGTCACTTGATTAACAATCTTATATTAAAATATTGCAACTTTGCCTATGTCTTTTATATGTTAGCATAAAATTTAAAAATATTTCTCTGAATGGGAACCTTTATATTCTTAAGTTTAGATAATTTAATTATATTTTAATCTAAATAGACATTGTTTTTCCATTTTGGTGAACTTGTTTAATTAAAGAGTCATTAAAAAAAATACCAACTCATTGAAGTGAAAAGCTTCAAATTCAAAATAAAATGTTTTTAAAAATTAAACATAAAACAAACAGCTGGTTATGTTTGTTTGGTTTGCTTTACAAAAACAATGAGATCTCTGAGTCCAAAGAATTCTAAAACGTTATTATCCCTCGTAAGGGAATCCCCTCATAGGGTCATGAAACTCATTCCACATTTTCGGATCTTCACAAGTTGGGCGAAGCCGGCTTGCCAAATACTTGCATGTGTCACCGTGGTAATAATTGACAATTTTGAAACATTAAAAATTTAAGACGACGCCTGTTTCTTCCCAGTTGGTCGCCATGGTTGAGATGAACATCGACATTTTGAGACATGAAATACCTGATTACCTGGCAAAACGGAGTTCATTGATTGGTTATGCATACCCAAGTAAGAAAAGTGTTTTAAATATTTGCAATCGAAAAGCCAAATGTTATTGATTTCAGATTCAATATACTTTGTGATATCTTTCATAATTATGTTACAATGGGCCATCATGGCCATTAGGACCTGTTTTACTCTACTTAAGGTATGGTAAAAAGAAATTCTTAAATTTTAATAAAACTAAAACCATAAATAATAAGTAGAAGTTGGCATTTGTAAATTGATCGACATCATATAAAATTCATATTGGAACATGAAAGAATTTTTTAACAATGTGAATAATTATATAATAGTCATCAAATATTTAAAAATCACTGTGATTGTGATGATTATGGCATGATTCAATTTCACTGTCTTTTGGAACTATTTAAGAAAGTGTAATAGTGGTCTGTTTGCAATTCAAACCCACCAGTGTGTATGTCAAAGCAAGTCTGACAGACAAACTAGTGAGCATTGGAAAACTAGGATGATTAGAAACTACCAAACTACTTCACAAAAAAATCTCACAATTCAAAAAAGTCTAATGCCTTTGGAAATACTTTACAATTTTTCCTTATATCAAATAAACAATATTTTTGTATTTTCTATCATAAAATATTTAGTCATAATAAAATTAAAAAAGTTTAGTGCATTGTACAACCATTTCCATGTTGTATATCTGTCAAATGTTTTTCTTTTTGTTGTTTTTTCAAGGAAACACCCAGTATTTCAGTCCTCTCTATCTTTGTTATATCCAAAGTAATAGTCATCATAATCTGCATTGCAGACATTATCATCATTCTTGTACAATATAGCGCTCGTATGGATAGAAAAATTTTGGCCCTTGGCCTGAGCTGGACAAGTTTTAAAATAGGTAAATTAGATTGATTAAACGTACGAATGTAAATAAATAATATAACTTTCTTTTGTTTTAAGTTTTATGCATGGTTTACATGGTGGCTTTGGTGACGCTTCACCAGCTTGTTATCAGAAACAGTGAAAAACAAGAATTACATAGCAGTGAAGCATCGGCACAGAGCGTAAATTCTCAACTTGTCATTTACATACCACTTCATGGCGAGAACAGTCCGAGTCAAGTTTCTCAAGCTCTGTCTAAAGCCAGCTACATTTCAGCAATCAGAAAAATTATACATAACAACATAGAATTAACAAAATGATTTTAACGATGCAAATGACTGGGTTGTTACTAATATGTATACAAAACCTATTGTTTTTAACCAAGTTATTATTGTATATTTTTAAAAAATGCGATTTTTTAACTGAGTTTTTATTTGAAAGTACAGTCTTAACAATTTTGTCTGTTCGTACATTGATTTAATCCGTATTATTAATTTTAAAACAGGTTTAAAACCAATTTATTACTGAGGTCTTATTATTAACAAAAAATAATGAAAAATAAAATTGGCAAATAATTTACATATTTATAGAAAAACAGAAAATATTGTTTGACCTAATGCTGGAATAACTTTAACAGAATAAAAAACAAAGAAATTTGTTTGTCAATTTTGTCTACTTTCTCTTATATTTATTAATTTGTATATATACGGCAATTGTTAACAGCTTTTTACCAGAACAGTTTTATTATTAACATAGTTTTAATTTATTTTATGTAGAAATGTATAAGTTGAACTTATAACACGGCATCCATCTTTTCAATAATTCAGCCCTCAAACTTCTAAAGCTCCAAGTTCGCCTAAAAAAGAATGTAGTAAACAAAACAATTTTGTATAATTACGAGCAATTATTGAAAGAGTGTAATTGATTCTCATTACCGTACCATATTGGAAAATCAATTTGCCTGTACTATCCTTCTTTCATCAAAATGGTCGGCCGAAGGGATCTCCTTGATATTGAGAGGGTCTTGATAGTCAGCGGACACATTCAGACCTTTAAAAGGTGTCGCGTTTTTTGGAAGCTCGTTCAACAGCTGAGAGCAATTTACATACCCCTTCTAGAGCCGTTGGCACTTTACGCTGTATATCTTGGAGGAATAGAAGGTCTTTACAAATACGCTTTTTTCTCCATTGCCGGCATCTTAATGTCTCAGCATGCTTTGTATTTTTTAACTAGGGAGAAAGAAGTGCTCGACGTTATAAAAGATTTCAAAGATCTTTTTGCTAGACGGAACAAAACCTGGCACTTAGAGATATTCAATAAAGAGTCAAAGCCTTTATGGCGTGTTGTTAACTTATATCTAATCACATGCGTCATATTTATTTTCTTCCATAGCTTCATGCCATTTCTTTTCGACTTTTACTTGGCTCTCTTCACCGAAGCTAGACCGTTTTCTTTGCCAACTCCTGCTGACCCTTACATTGGTGAAAACCCTCATCGAAGCCTTAGTTACTACCTGACATATTTCGCGGGCTCTGTATGGTCCGGTTTCTTGACTTGGCACTCGACAGGAACTGAGTGCATGTGTTTCGTATTTTCAACATACCTCAACATCGAGTTGAAAATAATAAATAAGAACATTGAAACTCTTGGGGAATGTTTTCAAAACAAGAATTTCGATCATAAAGCGAAATTGAGGCAAATCATAAGAGAACACCAAGATATTTTAAAGTGAGTATTCAAAAATGCGTTTTGGCAGTAATAGGAACAAAATTCAATCCTCTTACACTTTCTGTAAGTTTATAACATTATTTTATAAAATGTGCTAATTTTGAGATTTTTCTCTTAAATTAGTGGAAAAAACTACAGAGGAGCATCTTTAATTTGAAAAAAAAAAAATGCGGATGTAAAATACATAGCTATTAATCTGCCTATAGTGCAATCTTTTTCCCTTTTAGTTTAAAATATTGTAACAGCATAATTTTTTTTTTTTTTTTTTTTTTTGAGAACTGACAATTTTCAGATTAAGAGGTAAAGTCAATAATTTGCTTGGAGCTCCGCTTGTATTTCAAAATGTGATAAGCACCCTGACAATAACTCTCCTCGTGTTTACTGCCACTGTAGTAAGTAAATTTTAAAATAATATTCCAACATCATCAACTTTTTAAATATCCGTCGTCTTAGCAAATCAAAGTGAGGAACTACCCTGTAGCTTTTGGAGCAATGTTTCCATTCAACTGCTTCGTTTGGATCATATTTGTCATATGCTTCCTAGGAGAATCACTGCAAGAAAATGTAAATATGCTTATTGATCAGAACTGACAGTAAATATCAAGTTTTTACAGAGTTTGAATTTATCCGAAAGCCTATACAAACTTCCCTGGTATGAGATGGATGTCGAAACTAGGAAAATTTTGTTGATGATGATCAGACAGACATCTAAACCGATGGTGTATGACTACAAAAACAGCAGTGCCATAACATTGGTCACATTCCAAAAGGTATTTAGTTGAAATCCTGTTATTTAGCCTAATTTCTAATTACGTGGTTTTTGCTTTTTTTTTGGTTTTTTAGATGGTAAATGAAAGCTACTCATACTTAATGGTTCTTCAAAGCCTGCAATGAATATAAAGTTTAAAATTTACCTTCTCACAATAAATTAGTTGCAAATTTAATATTTTAACTCACTCTATAAATTCACTCGTGTTTAACAATTAATTATGCAATAAATCAATGCACTTATATACAAAATTTGTTCTTTCATTAAAATTGCTATGTATAAAAAAAAAAGTTTCTGGCCACAAGTTTAAATTTATTTGCATTTTCTAAGTACAAAAATTCGAACCTCTCCTCTTTATTTCGACTAGTGAGTTTGTCCAAATGAAAATTGTCTTTTTCAAAATTTGAGATATTTTTTTTATTTTCAAAGTGATTGATTTAAGAAAAGGCATAAAGTTAAAAGGCAATTTGACCTCAGCAAGCAGTGAGGTTTGTTTTTGGGATCATCATAGATAATTTTCAAAGTGTAAGAAGTTCAAGTGAAGATGTTAATTTTGTATTTTCTTTGTAACATTTACTTCTAACTTTAAACCATGCCTAAAATTGTTGTTAAGCTCTGACCTTTTTGAGGGTTTATAATAAGGAAAAATGCATAGAACTCAAAATAAGCAGCTGTATATTTATGTTTTTTTTGTTAATAAATCAGCCCCACAGATGAGTCGGTTTCTTTTTATCTTGAAAACAGTAACGGGTTTTTAGAATCCAACATATCACCAATGCTGAAGAGTTAAATTAATTTTTAAAATAATAATTAGACACTGATACGAAATGTGACTTACTTGAGTAGCACAAATAGAATATGGCATGTAAAAGTGTGAACAGTTTTCTCTCACCGAGGCACATTATGATAAAAGGTATTAAGGACAGACTTAAAAATATCGGCTTGGAGTTCATCCAAATTTTGATGAAAGACTGATTGTTCTACGGTAAAAGGAAATTTGTTGTAAAATCGTATTGAGAAGAGAAAAGAAAAAACTTACGAGAAGGTATGCAGCCACATGAAGAACAGCAAGAAGGGCTGACACGCTCAGCATGTGCATCAACATAGCTGAACCAAACAGTACTTGAACATCAATGTATTTGAATAGTATTTACAAATCAAATTAACCAATTATTTAATAGTATTGTTTATTATTATTGTTATTTATTCTATAGAGTTAGTTATACAAAATGCTTACTATAAAATTGGCCCAAATTTGGATTCCCATAAAAACTCTTTGGAAAGAACATTGTCACTGTGTTATTATAATGCTGAATGTAATATAGATCTGTTAGTATGAAATATACATCAGATATCCAAATTGTTTGAAGTATCTGCAAAAAATTGTCATAAAAAAATCATTTGCCAACATTTCATTCATTCGAGACAATTTTATTTTTATGTTAAGTTTTAGTCACAATTAGATGTATTCAAAAGATAAACAAGACAGCAATTTTCTTACCAAATCAATAAATGCTACATATATCCCTGCTTTTAAGAAGACGCTGGAAGCATAGATTTTCACCTCGTTTATTAAGTTGACCATAGTTGGTCAATTAAGTTCAGAGATTGTTGACAGACAAAACATATGTTCTTGAAATGGAACCTAGCACATCAAAGGGAAAAGTTCGGAAGTCACTGCTGCCAAAACCGCGTAAATGCTTTTGTTATGTCAGCCTTAAGGTCGGCATCATTTTAATGGCTGTCACCAACACTGTAAGTTCATTTTTATATACATTTTTTTTTTTCACAAGGTAACACTAATTCTCTCTCAACAGATCATTCACATAGTGTCTCTCCTGATGCTTGTCATGAGGGTCCTCAAATGGAGTGAAATCTATCAGCTCAAGATAAATGGGAAATTAAACATAACCGATGTGGAAACTTTGGAACAATCATATGATTTCTTTCATGGTAATTTATATAAAATGTAATTATACTTTCTAGAATAAAAGTCAACTGAGATTGTAACTGACATGAGAACATTAGTTTACTCAGTCACAAAAAGAAAGAAAGAAATATTAAAGATAGAAAAACAATCACCATAAAATGGGCAAAAAACAATAAAATAAGCAAAAATTTGCAGTTTGCAATTTTAAAAAATTGTCTTAACATCTAAAGTTTCTTGTTAGTAGCCTTACATTTCTTAATTAATTACAGTGTTTGTTACAAGAGTTGCGTCTTCATCGACATCGATGAGCCACATAATCCTGACTACAATGCTGTTTCGTGGTCTCATAAAAGTAAGGTTTGCATTGAATTTATAATCCAGTCTAAAAATCTCTTCCTTCAGTCCGATCTCACATTGGTGAAGTCATTTCTAATAATCGGAATATTTTTATTACACTGGGAAGTGTACTCTAAAATGTACTTCTTGACCGTCTCAAGCATGCATGCATTCATCGAAGCGCCTTTTGTCTTCATGTCGATCCTCGTCATTATTATTTACTTCTGTGAGGATAGATATTTCAAGTCTGAAGGTACAATTCTAACTGAAGTTTTGTTGTTACAGTTCTAGGCCACTACATGCTCCTAATGGTCAACAGTTATCTCAATTTGTCTTTTGAAAAATTAAGACAAGATGAAAATCCAGAGAAACTAAAAAAATATGTTAAACCATCTAATTAATGTATTGAAAACAATGAGAAATTAGTGATTAAATATTGCTGAGATAATTTAAATAATTACAGAATATAATAGTACAAGGCACATGGACTAAAATAAACACCATAAATTAGCTGATGTTGCGAATATACTAAACCCTCAAGACCTATTGGTAAAGCTGAGACTGTAGTAACTCACCCCCAAAACAAAATACATACTGTACAATAACTGACTTTTTTATTATTATTTCATAACTAACCATAAATATTAAATAAAAGACCTATATCTAAAAATATTTTCAACAAAAAAAATAGATATTACAACTGTCTGTTGAGTAATGTTAATATTTTGCAAATAAAATGGAAAGAAATGTTAAAATAATTGTTGTTTAATAACAAATTATACATATAAATAAAATAAAATACCTATAAACTAGGCTTAATCATTAACATTGGGGTGATTTGAGACCATCACCTCTGCCTACCTAGATAGACAAACCTAACAAAGATGTTCAACCATCTAATTAAACTATTTAAATCAATCAGGATTTTTTAAATATATTGTTCACATATTTTAAATGATTACAGAATATAATAGTACAAGGCACATGGATTAAAATGGACAACAAAAATTAGCGAACGATTTTTTTTTTAAACTTATACACCAGCTTCCAAATTGACAACAAGTATGCAATTATTAGATTTTGTTTTACTATTACAATTTCAATCAGTTAATTATAATGTATTGCTAATTATTACAACAATTAATTTTACAATTATAGTTTTGATAATATAATGGATATTAATTATTACTATTATTCGGAGATCGTGAGATGAGGTCTGGTGTGACGTAGGTTTTAGAAAAACATTTTCTTTATCATGCAAACGTTTCGGTCTTTAATGAGATCATTTTCAGGGCCTGGGATTTATAAACATTGTTTCAATTTTACAAATATGTACATGTAGGAGGTGATAAAAAAAATGAAATTATACAATGCTAGAAAATTTTAGATTAAAAAAAATGAATTTATACAATGGTAGAAATTTTAGTTTTAAAAAAAAATTTATACAATGTGTGTAGATCCCCAGAAGGGAATCTTAAACGGGGTTGTAATAATTTAAGTTTGTTATAAATATTAAAATTAGACGTAGAAATAGGTTAGCTAATTGTTGGGAAAGCGTATTGTGCCGGGGTGAGTAACCGGAGATGGCCTGGAATCGCGGGAGCCGACCCGGTCTTTCTCGAGAACTCCAGACGCAGCTAAAAAAAAAAGCTGGCGAAATAATAACAGCTGGATGTTTTCGATTGAGAAATTTGATACTGGGGCAATCGCCCTAGAAAACTTGGCTGTTGTGCTGATGAGTGGTCTTATTGCTCAACCCTCAGGATTAGCTAATGCCCAGACTCATCCAAAATAGTTCAATGACCTGGAGAGGACAAAGGGCAGTCGGGTCACCTGGAAACATAACAGTATTTTCAAAATGCAACTGTTCCCCACCTCCTCCCTGAACGGATCGATATAAAAAGGACAATCAGAGAGTAGAACCAGAGAGTATCCGGGTGGAGTCCAAAGAGAGAATCCAGGTGGAGTCCGAAGAGAGAATCCGGGTGGAGTCCGAAGAGAGTCCGAGTAGAGTCGGTAGTACGGGAGTCCGCAGTTGAGTCAGTCAGAGTGCCCTGTGGAAACAACGAGTGTGTCTGTCAACCGGACTCAAAAGGGTGAACTGGTGCGGCAGATTAGTCAGCGTAGTTCGCAGGATCCGTACCACCGAACCGACAAAATCGATGCACGTATTCCAGTCCTGTGAGTACAAATTTTGTCAATTGGTTTACAGGAGATTTGGAGAACAGTTGGGCGATTTCGGGCTACTTTTAGTACTATGATCCCAATAATTAAGCCCCTAGTATTAAGGTTTCGTTAAAGAGAGTAAGAGCATTAGTTATATCTAGAATTAGTCTTCCAGTAATAAGTTTTGTATATGAATTGTTTAATAGGAAATAAGGGTTGCTATTTATAAGCAGGGTTAGGGCGTTATTCACTAGTTGATTATACATATTACAGTTATATCAAATAAAGGGACCTGTTTGTTCTGTCCGAATTGGTGTTTCTTTCCCCCAAACCTCCTTGACCAGAGTTAGTAGTAAGTAAGAAAAGGGTGTTTACCCATCAAGCAACCTGACAACGTCAAGCAACCGGCAACCTGACAAATCTTACCACTAAAAGGCTTGACGGGCCTAGAGTGGAGAGCTCACTACCCTCTCGGAGCACCCTAGCGAGCGACGGTATTCGAACGAGCCACACGCACGAGGAAAAGGAAACCGCTCATCACACAATGCTAAAAAAATTTAGATTTAAAAAAAATTAATTTATACAATTTTTCTAAAACCTACGTCACACCAGACCGCATCTCACGATTAATTATTACGTTTTATACAATCACGTTGAATTTTTTTCAACAAAGTGACTCTACATACCTAGTCCACGTGTTTCTCCCAATTATTGGTGTCAAACATTACAAACAGACAAACCAAACAAAGATGTTCAACCGTCCAATTAAACTACAATAGAAATCCGTTTATCCAGACTTGAAAGGACCGGGACTTGTCTGTATAATCAAAAGTCCCGATAATCCAAAAATTTGTGATTTTATTAGTGTCGTGTCATAAAAACTGAATAAAACAAAAATGAACACTTTTATTCATATATCAAGTTACATTTAAAGTAATAGATAGTCTTTATTAGTTCTATTTTTGTTTGTTTGAACATGCATTTCTCAAAAAATTTATACATAAAAAATACCTAATAAAAATATACGTAATAAAAAAAAACCTTTTCAATGGAAGCCAACATACAAACATGACACAACAATTTCTAGTCTTTTAAAGTAGGGTACAGGTTTTTTTAGTTATATTTTATTTTTTTGAATTAATTTGTTCGTTTATTTATTTTTTTGTCAAATAAAAATGTGATTGTCACCCTCTCCGGCCTCTTTGATAATGTGACAAGTGGAAGGACGATTTGGCAGCCATTACGAATTTTGAATAACAAATTAAAGGTCCCAAAGTTGATTATGAATTTCAAAATATTAATATACATACGTTTAGAATTCTGAAAAATTTATAAAAAAATATTTTAACAAACTGGTCCGCATGATCTGGAAGTCCAGATAATTGGGGTCTGGATAAACGTTTTTCCACTGTATTTAAAGCAATGAGAAAAATTAGCAAATATTGAGAGTATATTAAACCCGCAAGACCTATTGGTCTATAATGCTGAGACTGTAGTAACTCAGCCCCCAAAACAATAGGCATACATTACTTATTACAATTATTAAAGTAATTTAGACCATTTATTATTATTTCATAACTAATCGTAAATATTAAATACTATTGGTAGGAACACCACAAATTATTTTAAAAAATAGGGAGGTAGAATGAAGTGGGTTTCAGGAGAAATAAAAAATTATAAATTTAAGCGGTATATGTAATGAGACATGGTCAAGAGAAAAATAAGAAAGAGAAATTTACTTGTTGTCAGTGATCAGCAGTGGAGAAATTTGTCGGAGTGGGTAATTTATATAGATCCAAATCTCGGAAGAGATCTGTACCTCGCCGTATCTTCAGTGGATATAGGAATTAGTTATAATGGAAGAATCATTAAGAGGAAATAATGAATGAAAACGGGTGAAGAATAAGTGGAAAGAGAAATGAAGAATGCAGAGATGGAGAGCCAATAAAGATGGTGATAGAGAAGAACAGTAGACCTTAGTCGATGGCGGAATTTGAGCAACCAGTTTGCAACAATTAAAAAGTGATTACAAGATTATATTAAGCAAAAGACCTACTAGAAAGTATTAACAGTCGCTTGAAAGGCAACAGCAATTGACATTGCCGTACAATCTTCGAACGGAGCAGTGGAAGCTTGACCGAACAAATACTCTAGATCAAAACAATATTGGCGCACCCCACTTTTTCCGCAAATCTCAATAGGCTTAAGATATTTTCTGTAAATAATATTTATTTGAAAATTGGCCTAATAGTGAGTTTCATGCTCGCCATGTGAGGACCACTGTAAAATTTGGAGGTGGAAGTGTCCTAGTTTGGGGTGTGGTCATGGAATGGTCAGGCATCCTGAGCCCCCAAAATACATACCTACAATAACCAATGTTATTTAAACAGTTTATTATTATTTCATATCTAATCTTAAATATTAAATAAAAGAGCAATACATACATCGAGAAATATTTTCAACACGTAACAATACTAAATTCACTAGTTTTCGTGGTCTGCTTGATCAAGCCTAAAAACCTTAATTAATTGAAAGATATTGATTGGTCAAGCAGACAAAAACTAGTGAATTTAATAAGTTAAAATAAGTATACCTTCACCAAAGCTCTCCGTGGCCATTTCATTTGTCGCCGAGAATCAAATTGATTACACGACATTTGAACAATTGCAAAAAGGAGGGAAAATTCAAAAGGTGGGGTTGAGATGGGAAGTTAGTGTCCGAGTGGATTGAAGTCACGATAGCTCAAGTGGTAGAGTAGCAGCGTATCTAGCCGAAGGTCATGGGTTCGAATCTCGCTCGTGACACTGGCGTTTTTATCTCAACTAAAAACCTTAATTAACCAAACAATACTTTAAAAAAATGGATTTTACATCTGCCTGTTGAGTAATGTTAATGTTTTGCAAATAAAATGTAAAAAAAATTTAAAATAATTATATATTTAATAATAAATTATACATACAAATAAAATAAAATACTTACAAACTACAGTCATTAGCGTTGGGGTGATTTGAAACCATAGCGGCTCTGCCTTCCTAGATAGACAAATCAACCGTTTAATTATACTATTTTAATGTAAATAATTACAGAATATAACAAATGGACCACACCAGAGCGATAATGTACACATCTTTAGGTCATAAGCGATATACGATAATTACCTTGTAAGATTCCAACACTCAGGCCTAAAAAAAACATGAAGGAATGACAAAATTAGTTCACACCTGTACAATAGCAACAGTGTTGTGTGATATTGCAAAGGGTGAACATGGCAAATTCAAAGAGTGAGGACATTGGCTATATGATTAACTGACTAGCTCATATCTTATCGCTATGGTATGAACTTCACTTACCTTAGGATTAAAATGTTTCTTCGATCAATATATTACCACTCAGATGTGAACCGGGCTAATATTGCAAGGTACATGGATTAACCTAAACACCAAAAATTATCAAATGATATTGTGAATATAGTAAACCCGCAACCGTAAAAACAAACAACTGTTTTGGGAATGAGAACATTTCTCGATTCAACCAGTTCAAAAGTTAAGACAATCAACAAAGTAAGACTGTGATTACATTTTCCAAGGACAATTTTGTTTCTGTACTTGTCATCCTTTGTTTTTAAAAAAAGAGCATTTATTAATTTAAGCCAAATATTATTTTTTAAGTTTTTCTAAAAATCCTGGTCCACCTTTTCATCTGACCCCGCCATTGTCTATATTTCCAAGTTACTTGCTTGTAACTAATCATAAATTTGAAATAAAAGATACCTATATCTAGAATTTTTCAACACAAAAAAAAGGATTTTACATCTACTAGGCTAGTTGGTATTCGCAAAATTCAGGGTCACTGATATCCGATCCTGCCCCAGGCCTATCATTGTTGAGTTCCTTTTTAATTTTCGTTGAGGTCATCAGTGCCATTGGGCATCAGAAAAAGTCCAGAGATGACAGTGTGAATCAAACCATGACGTCAGGATCTACTAACCAAGAGTCTGACACCGTAACCACTACCACGAGCCAACTCTGCGCTATTACTGCTGTTTGTGACAGGTCCTCCATCGACCCTCGCATTGGTTCTCTTGATGGAAAGATGCTACAACTAGAGCGTCTCTGCAAAATGTGGTTACGTCTTGGTACCCGGACGCTGGTCTGGAGGGTAACAAAAAAGGCAGCTACATCCAGACAACCACCACAATCTAGCCCTCTGATGCTAAAAATGCAATAAAAACCATGATTTAAAAAATATGGCAGCATCTATAGGCTGGATCGGCACAAAACAAATGCAATGTTGTTGAAACTTATTAATAATTCAACTCATGGAGAAGTAAATGTTTATTTTGAATAAAATCAGTTCATTTCAATTAGTAAAATCAAATTATTACACGTCTTTATAAAATTGTTTATTATGATGTAAAATATCAGTTAGTTACAGCCTTGGAAGATATGAAAATGTCATAGTTGATCAGGACACTAAGAAGTGAAAACTCAACTCCTAAAAAATAATAAACACATTTTAACAATATCAATCATATACAAAATGATTTTAACTGATAACCCAATTATTCAAAGTTTTAATATATATTTACCAAAGTGCACAAAATGTGCAACACTTCTTATTATTATTGTTGTATAAGTCAGCATCCCAGAAATTGACATGATTATTAGAATCAATACTTTCAAAATTATTATGTACAAAGTGCTAAAATTCATAACAATCCATGGTCTAATAAGGATTTTTTTCTCCTTGAAAAATTAAATTGTTGCATATATAAATTGAAATTATTGTAAAAACAGAATTGCTTACTCTTGCAATTCCAACTGATGACACAATTGCTAAAATAATATTAAATATGCCAATTACTAAGTTCATTTGAACATACTCTGAAACTGAAAAAAAATTACATTTAATTTAAAAAAAGATTATTGTAATAAACTTATCCATAATTAATCCTGAATACCAGAAAGTGGATAGATATTTCCCTCCAGGTAGTATTTCCCATCATTTCGTTTAAACGTACGATCGCCGACTATACCAGAATTCAAAATCAGCACCATTTGCCAACACTTGCGATATGAGTAATAATTAATGCCAATAAATCCCTATTGTCGATTGTTTACTTACGATGTCGACGAAATTAATGATCCCCGAGGTGGATCTCAATGACATTCCAAAGAAAGAATCGAACTTTGGAAAGCAACATTTGAAAGTGTCAACAATTTGTACGTGCATACCTTATAAATAATCGCGACTGAAATAAAATCACACAATACGCAACTCTCATAGATTATAGTTTTTAATATGAACATGAGATTTTTCAAACATTGATGGTAGATGCATTACTGTTAAATTTGAAAATTCAAACATCTGATCTAATACAATAGTGAGAAGGAATTTACAAAAAAAGTCTTTTAAAACGTTTCTTGTACCTAAAATGTTTTATTAAAAAATTATTATAAAATATTTAATTTTATTCTTCAAAAAATTAAATCATTATTTCTTAATACATACCACTACATAGATTATGATAATATTTGAATATTTTTGACAATGGTATCAGGACTGTAAGCAGTGCAAGGCACTTTATTTTTCCGCTTTACCTTTTTTAAACGGAACAATTCATGAAGATTGAAACCTAGGCAAGAATGTCCACCAAAATGATAAAAATGCCACCAATTACAAAATGATAAAACAGAAGTGGTATAAGAATCCCTGCTAGCATTGTTGAGCAATTAAGCGCCATCGATCAATTTTAGTTTAATTAAATGTTCAAAGGAAAGTTTGGTTAAGGTTTTAATAGTTTTTCATTCAATAACGACCTTGTACATGGACAGTTAGCAACGCACTATATTCTACATGACAAAACAAGATCTTGAACTTATAGGACCAACTGCTTAGGTTTTCAAAATGGCTCAGCAAGGATGTGAGAAGGGTGAGGACAAACAAAAAATACTGCGATTTTTGTTAATTTACTCTGGGCCAACTGTCCACTGTCTCGTCACATTGGTTCATTCTAAATGAGCAATGGTAATTTTTGTTATAAATTTCTATTTTTATGGTCTGAGCTTGACTATGGTGATTAAAATGCGGAATCTTGTCGTAGATAGACGTATGACAAAATTAACAATGATTCCTTTTTATAATTTCTTCTGATTATACCGACACAGCTGAAAAGAAATTTTTGTGTTGTCTACCTCAGAGTACTATCTGGGTCCATTTCAGCAGAATGAGCAAGCTATTTAATTTTTAAAAATAAATAAATAAATAAAACTAAAATATAAAAAAATAAAAACTGCCACTATCCTCAAAACGAGGTCACAAGTGGTCTAGATACCATGTTCACCTTCTACATTTCTTGTTTTCTTCACACAGTCCTTGTCACGTTTCTTCATAAAACCTTTCAACCTGTGATTTATCCACTATTTCATACAGATAATGTCTCGGTTTTATCCATAATTATATAGATAATCCTAATTCAAAACTTGATCATTCGAATTTCTTGATAGAACAAACTCCTCAGGAGGCCAATCTGGTAAATCGAAAAAAATTCTATATATTCGGATACACTTGGTAATACATGTTTTCGTAACAGGGGGAGAGAGCACATTCCATAAATCAACTTTCCACCTCCCATTTATAATTTAAATTTTTTCTTCGTAATGTTCCTCTAAATTTCAACATACTGTTTGCTTTCTTTTAGCATAGTTTCTTCCAGTTTTCTCTAGTTTGTTATGTTCAACGGTCAGTGTTTTATCACTGTATTCTCATTGGGTCACTTCAGAAAATCATTTACACACAGGAAGACAGGCCACACTGAAACAAAAACTCTTAATGAATTTTTTTAAATATTGCAAACTATGTTCAATTTTACAGTTGATTATTTTCACTTTTTCATTAGTTTTTACATTTTGTATATGTAAAATGTAAGAACTTTTAAAAATGCATATCAACTCTTAATAATTTTAATCCCTTCCTCTTGGTAATTTGAATAATTTTTGTGGTTCCTCATGTTTCGAATTATCAAAAGTAGACAGCATTTATCTCTTGGCTTGTTATAATAAAATCAGACAGATAGAGGAATTATGATTGACATTCTTGGTTCATTATTATTACGAGTATATTCTTGCTTGAATTTCATAATCCGTCATCCTTTAGATGAAATTTTTACTTATTTTCTGCTGGATATCTGTCAAAGCTGAAAACATTGATTATTATTATTTATTTCCATTTACAGTTTATGATACAAAAAATATATGAAAAAAAGGTAGAAATAAATCCATCCCTATAAAAAATTGTATTTTTATTATCCACATACTAGAAAAAAAAAGAAAAATATATATGAAGACAAAAAAGAAAACACAGCAATAGGCTAGTTATTTTCTTACTTTTGTACATAGATTACCTTAATGGTACATATAAAATAAGATTTTTTTTTCTTTTGTTAAAGCTGGACATTAAAATAGTCTAATTCGTCACAATTGCATTCCTCGGGGGTTTAAGTGGATATGAAATGCCATAAATAATATTTCTTTTTAAATTAAAAAACAAAAGCTGATTCCAACAAAACTGAAACATTATTAATTTTTACAAATAGCATTCTGATTAATCAGAAAATTTGAATTCATACAATATTTGAACACACTGGAATAATTAAAATTAAAAATGAAACTCGCACAATTAAGCATTCCAGAAAGTTGAAATATTATCCAGATATAATTTATACATTAAGTGTACTGTATGCTTTTTATCAGACTATCTCCACTCGCTTTTGTTTAAAAAAATTTAAGGCCTGACAGTTAAGGTGTTTTTAAATAAAGGTATAAAAGTCCAGTAATATTTAAAACGTAATTTTTAGCGATTGAAAGCTAATAAGATTGTTTTCATTTGTGACCTCCATTTTGAGGGTTTATATTGTGATGAAACAAGTTATAACACACTAAATTTGGGAAATATGCCAGATTGAATAAATTATATGTCCATGAAAAATGGGTTTAGTCTTCGTCATTGGAGGCTGAGGAAAGATTGTTATCTTCTTTGTTCTTGTTTTCCTCACCACCATGATCTGTGCTGTCATCGTCCGAAGAACCTGCGTCACTGTCAGACGAAGAACTGTCATCGTCTGATGACGATTCCGAGGATGATGAGGATGAAGAACTGGAGTCAGAGCCTGACGAGGAGTCGGAGCTACTGCTAGAACTCGAACCACCACTGCTGCTCGAACTGTCAGACGCTGAAGACGGTCTGTCGTTTGGAGCCGACTTTGTCGCGGTGTCAATGTTCCTGAAAGAAATTTTCCCCACCTTAAACTTGAAACTCCTGATAAATCTTTTTGAAAATGAGCTCAAGAAGGGCTTAATTCGCATTTTCAGCTTCAGGGCTATTTTCTGTAAATCGATCAATAAATCAGCTGAAAACATTTGTTGTTTTCTTTGTTTTCTACTTACTGTGAAACTGTTTTTTCTTTCTCCTCCATGAATTTAACCCTTTTCATTAATAGCGATGACCTCGAAGATCTATGAAGGAATTTACGCTTTCCAGTACATTCAAATGTCCAGTGTCCTGTCTCTAAACATTTCTGGCATTTCGCCGGCTGAGATGTTTGAGATTTCCCACTGAAATTGACACAATTCATTTATTAAGATTTATTCGGGAAGATAAAAAAATGGCAAGATATCTCAAAGATATGTCATTCACCTTTCAAGAACTTATAAAAGACTAAATAGAAATCACACAAACCCAGCCTAGAAAAGGGCAAAATGTCGAAACACTTCTGACAGGACAAAACAGCTAGAATATGCAGACCAAAATGATCGATAACAACCAAGCTAGAGACTAAAAATATGTTTAATGAGTCTACGCCTGATGTACCTATCCATTCATAGTCCAAATTGCGTACATATGATATAGTGGTCAACCTTCATGAAGATTATGTTCTGCAGTATGTGATATATAAGGATGGAAGTCAAACAAAATAAGGGATTGGTTTCCCTTTTGAAGTGCATCAGGAATCAATTCTTGTAGAATGCAAGAAATTTAAACTGGGTTTATACTGCAGTACAAAATCAGGCTGAACTGTTTGCGATCCTTCAGGCAATAATATGGCTCTGACTGAAACATATTTCATCAGGGCAAAACTCAACAGAAATTAAGACGGATAGCAGAATATAAATCGATACAATCACATCATGCTGGAAAGTAACAAATGAGTGGACGAAGACGCACTTAGGGACCACCGATGCCGATGGCATACGGACTGACGAAGGAGGCAGCTGCAGATGAAAATGCACTCAAGTGCTACAGCGCTGCTTGAAGATCTTATTTGAAGAAGAAAATGAAAGAGATAACAGAGAAGAAATGAGAAAGGAGCACGAGCATTATGGACAAAAAAATGACAATAAATTACAGGAAGAAGCTAGACAATTTAAAGATGGACTGCAGATAAACAGGACAAGAACTAGCTATTACTTGAACAAATTTCATATTATTGAAAATTCAAATTGTTCATGCAACCAACTTACTGACCACGCATATAAACATTTAATATATCACTGTCCAGTGCTCAAACCTTATCGACATGACTTAAACACTGCATCAACAGGGCAAGAATGGCCAGTATCAAGGCATATATTAATTAAGAGAAATATTATTACCTTTTAAACAAAATCTATTCAAAATTCCAATTGAAGTATTTAATTAACAGAAAAAACTTATTTCATTTTCACAGTTTTATGTGTTATTTAATTAGTCATTATATTTATTATTGATTATTTGGAGATCGTGAGATGCGGTCTGGTGTGACGTAGGTTTTAGACAAATTTTTTTTAACGTGCCAACATTTTGATCTTTATTGAGATCCTAAACATTGGAACTCCCTTCCCTCTCTCTATTCATCACGCTGTCCTTTTCCTCCTTTAATTCCCACCTGTATCACCTCCTCTCTCTCCAAATAGAGACCTTATGTTAATATTTTATATTTTTGTTTAATATTCTTGTTATTTTTCCTTATGGCTTGCCTAAATTGTATACATTATGCCAATATTTATATTTCGTTCTATTTTTACTTTCATAAAAGGAACTTCCTTTATTTATTTCATGTATATTGTTCTTAGGGGACACCAGACCCAGAATAAAGTTATTTTTCTTTTTCTTCTACTCAGTCTCCTGGTGACTTAGCACGGTAATATTCCTCTAATACCGACACTGTCATACTCAGTCAAATGCCAGACTGGAAAAAGCGTAAGACTAAGAATAATATAAAATGAAACCAACGAGGGAAAAATATAAACTAAAAACAATATTTAGGTGTAGCAGAATGGAAGGGCATGCTACTTTTCGTGCAAATGGAATTGATCAGTACAAAAGTAAACTAAGGAAGTAAACAAAGCATTATTTAATGTTTATTTTGACTACGTTGACTACGATGGATCTCAATTATGTGTAACTAATGTAGAATTTTTTCATTTTTTAAAGAAAATAAAGTGAGTGGTGTTTAATTTGTCCATCAGTGTAGATAAGCCAAAAAGACTGTTTATGACTTTCAACACGTGCTAGACTAAACCATTTTAGTAAATAAAATAAACGAAATTTTTGTGCATAGTTGTTTATAGTAAGTCCGGCTTTTTTTTTAGTTTTTTTTATATACTGCATTTATGTATGATCAGATTATGTCTGAAAACTCTATGGACTTTGTGGATCTTGTCAACCGATTTTGACTTCATCTCTTTGCTGCAAAAGAGCTGAAGTCAAATTCTACAGTATTCTGCGGCTGGTAATTTTTGTCGGTTGGCCTTCACTTTGAATGTTTTATTTTGATTGCAGAACCTTTAAAAAAAAGGCTTAAAACCTTTAAAATGAGTGCGATTATGGTCAAAATCGTTTTACCGACTCTGGGTTCTCACAAATATCACAAAAACAGACTCAACCGTTAAAAAAAAAATACTGAAAATAAATTCTTACTTATTTTTTTGTCCGGGCGAAGGTGTCCATAATGTCATCTTACCGAGGTCTCCTTTCCGGCCAACATTAAAAGAACTCGACAGATTTTATACTGATGAGGCCGGGTAGAAAAGTCTTTGGCCGTAAAATGTTGGAAAAACGTCCGAATCGGTCTATTTGTTTACAGTTTATACCCGGACTAACCTCGAACTCGGCTTGAAGCGGGCCGAGGTGCGGATCTTTGAAAAACTAGCGGCCAACGCCTCGCTGTGGGAGAACAAGCCTTAAATTAAAAAAAAAAAAAATATTTTAAAAAAATTTAACAACTTCCTTTTGTATCAATTTCATAAATAAAATCCTCTTTTTTATGAGAACAAAGTAGACAGCAAAAGTTTCGACTTAACCGTAAGGCTGTTATATAGAAGTTGCAAAGTTTTTTAACTTTTGTTTTCTATTCCTTAAACCGAATGCTATTCAAGTGATAATTTACAAAAAATCAATTTAAAAAGCTTTTTTTATTATTTTTACGAAGGTTCGCAACAGCAGAAGTCATATCAACCATCTGTGGTGCCGGTGTTTTTGAAAAAAAGAAGAGGACATTGAAGCAAAAAAAAGCTTTTTAATTAATTAACATCAGGGCCTGAATGAGAACTGTCTTCTTTGTTTATTATTTTACAAAAATTAAGTTTCTTAACATTAAATAATTAATATCATATCATGAACATTATAAAAACTATAAAATATATATGTAGGAAGAAATGAAAACATACAGAAATGAAAATATAACAAACATATAGTAAAAATCATTAAAAAATAATCTAGTTCTTGAAACTATGCAATTAAATAGATAAGAATTGTTCAAACGCTTAAATTAATGAATATGTTTCTAAAGTACAGATTTGACATTTTGTAAAATTTGAGTAATTTTAGTTTTGATTAAAAATATGTGAGGTTGAAGCTGATTTATTACTTGGAGGGCTGTGGAATAGAAAAATAATAGGCATAATTTCTTTATAGAATTGAACATTAAATAGACAATTATTTCTAGTATTGATACTAGGAAAACAGAAAGATATACTAGAGAGAAGATCAGGACCACCTATTATTCTAGTTAAAATATCATAAATCTTATGCAGAGAAAGGTTGCTCGAAGTGTCCCACAAAATAGAGGCATGTCATCCCTGGGTTCCATACATAGAGCCTGTAGGCATGCCGTCGGGTTTAAGAATGGTTCTCAAGCACAGCAGTCTGTTTCTGTGTTCCCTGTTCAATTTTTTAGAGAATGGGGTATTATACTTTATATAGTTACATTCTAGGTGGCTCACTCATTAAGGACAAGGGAAGCAGTGCTGGAATACATATACCTAAGTTAGGGATCAGCATCTCCTCTCCTCTTGGTAATAACATCTCGGTCTTTCAAGCAGAGGTCTGGGCCATCAATTTTGCTGCAGAACACTCATGGATAACAAGATTAAGGGAAAAGATATTTAAATTTTTTCCGACAGTCAGGCCAGTCTTAAATCTTTACAAAAAGAGTTATCAACATCTAGGCTGGTAGAGGAAACCGTTGAAGTCATTAATAGGATTACTACCAGGTACGAGAATAGGGTAACCCTCATATGGATACCTGCTCATAAGGGGCACTATGGCAATGAGGAGGCGGACAGCCTGGCCAAAGAAGGATCAAATACTGCGTTTGTCGGGCCACAACCGGTATTACCCCACTCTTTAAGCACAGCGAAAGAGAGTATAAGTTGCTGGGGCTTGAAACAATTCCTTAAAGAATGGAATATGTCCCCCGGATGCAGGCAATCGAAGGAGTTTCTGAAGGAAATCAAACCTAAAGAAGCGAAATGGTTACTCTCTAACTCTAGGAGGGGAATAAGGAGGCTGATAGGTATCCTAACGGGCCATTGCCCCTTGAGAAGACACCTCTTCATATGGGTACTCTACCAGACCCCTTCTGCCGCTTCTGCAAAACAAAAGAAGAAACAGCTCGACACTACCTTGCAGAATGCGATAGGTATGCTAGGGAAAGATTTGATACTTTCGAAGGAGAGGACATAACCAAAACACAGGATAAAATGGTCCACAATCTTGGGGTTTGTGAATAGGTCCAAAAGGTTTATGCAGGACTCGTGAGCTGACCAGGTCCCGGACCTTTTAGGGAAGGGGTACGGGCCTACCCAGGCTTTTAACCCCTCGGGTCCTGGTCGCCCGCCCTGCGTAATATATATATTCTAGGTGTTTCATCGTTATGTGTTTTGTTTGAATGCATGTATTTATAAGTGTGAGTGATGAAGGGTTATGGTGAAATAATAGCATCACCATCGCCCCTCACCCAGTAGTGTGCTTAGGGTCGATGGCGGAATATTTATAAAAATGAAAGGAATTTTTTGCTTAAATCAATGTATCTCAAAAATTGATGTCGTATTTTTTTCAATTGTATTAATATGCATGGAATAACGAGAAAACCAAATGGGAGTACAAAATTCAAGATGAGGCCTTACTAGAGAGACATATAAGTGTTTTAATGATTGCATGTTGTAAAATTTTTGAGTTTTTCTCATTATAAAGCCCTATAATTTATAAAATTTTGTAATGATATAATCAGTATGATCTTTAAATGACAGCATTGAGTTGAATATAACTTCCAAGCCACAAATTGAATGAACCGTTGCTAGTTGTGTTTTTTTCTAAAGAGTATTGGTATGATACCTTTTTTTTGAAGACCTAGTAAATGCAATTACCTTACACCTGTCAATGTTCAGATTCAATAAATTATTACAACACCACGAATGAAACTTTTATCAATTTTCTCGGAGCACCATTGCATCATCTAAGGTATTAATTTTATGTTAATTCGTACATGTATTTAGCAGTCATTATTGACCATATTAATTATTTTAATTCATTATACTTTTAATCTAAAGTCTTGTTTGAGATGAAAAGAGTTGGTGTCTGAGTGAATTGAAATCACAAAGCTCAAGATGTTAGAGCAGCGGCGTATTGAGCCCTAGGTCATGGGTTCGAATCCCATTTGTAACACTAGCTTTTCCATCTCAACCAAGACCTGACATTGATAGAATAATTAATTTAATAGAAGATTTTTAGATCATCGGCCAGGTATAAAATATTTACCTCTGAAAACATATCAACAACATCATTAAAGAATATGAAGAATAGCAGTGGACCCAAGTGAAAATATTGTAAACTGTTACATTTTATAGTTTGAACAGTTTTTTACACAATTATAATTAATTTAAATTATAAAGTTTTGTTTTATTGGTAATTAAAATACTTTTGTGACGTTTAAAAAGCTTGGAGGTTTTATAAGTGTTATAGGTTGACGTTCATAGTTTCATAACTTTCACTAATGTTCGGTGCTTTAATGTGTCAAAACATTAGATAGCTGTGATTTTATGTTTAGTTGAATTATTATTTTTATAAACCGGTATTTTGTTGTGAAATAATGGGTAGGAAGGAAGGACTGGAATCTGTCTTGGGAGAGTTGGACATTTTGAGTTTCAGGATGTTGCAGCTTATGAAAGATTATATAGACGTCAAGCTGACCCTCGAAGAGCTGATCAAGACTGGTAGCCTCCACCTGGCCAAATCGCGGTATATAATGGGCAACCGGAGTGTGTCCGTGTTGCAGCTTCCGACGGAGGAGTGTCAGCTTAATGCTCTGGTCAGGGTAGTCGAGAAGGACCAGGACGTCGACGGGCTCTCTCTTGAGCTCAACAAGCTCGACCTCAAGGGTAAAGACGAGAAGGGTACGAAGCAGCGGAAGAAAGCGGACGAGACGTCAGACGACGAGACTGAGTTGGACGTCAAAGTGCAAGACCCGATCAAATGGTTCGGAGTGCTCACCCCGCAGAACCTGAGACAGGCGCAGTCTTCCTTCGCGAAGGCGCTCGAATACTCAGTTCAGTGCGCTAATCTACAGCTTGAAATGAAGCAAGTTCAAATGAAATATAAAGAATTGATCGAAGAGAAAAATAAACTGATGAAAGTTGAACAAACCTAAATTGAACATTTAGTGTGATTTATATATGTATATATTTTAGATAATAAATTAATATTTATATTTTATAGTTTCACTGTTTTGAAATAAAAAGATCTTTTTAATCCCTTCATCTATTTACTACAATAAATACATAGGTATTATATGCCAATTTTGATTAAATATGTTTAACTTTATTAAGGGCATGTTCAGCATAAGTACAAATACAACAGGAGAACGAAGCAGCATAAGAAGACAAATGAGCCATCTGAAAAGAGACAGTTAACGTTAAAAGGAGCCATCCTCTTTACATCCTTGTCTACTTAATTAATAATTCAATAGAAGAATCGGCTGTATCTTCTTCCTGGTAATATCTGCAAAGGCTAGTTTTTTGTAGTACTGTCATTCTAGCCCTAATAGCATAATAGGTTTAGTAGTTCTACGATGGCCCTGTTTTGAAAACCTCTGTCCTGGAATAGATTCCCGTTGAATCTAGCACTTACTTTTAACATTGTATGATTTGATCATTTCCCCATTTTTTCCTTGGTCCGCTACTTGACCAAAGGTTTTATTTCATGTAGTTTGTTGGTGATGGTGATCCAGTGGTTATGCCATTCTTTCCAGTATTGGTTGTTAAGATCGCAATAATAATAATATAGATGCTTTACCCAAGAAACCTAAATCCTCACTTGCTAGTGACGACTGCCTTATTAGTATTCTTTCATTACTATCTAAAGCATTAAGATTTTATTTAAACAAATGTACTTATTTATTGATTCCCAAGCCCTTATATCCCCTTTTCAATCTTGCGTCCAAAAATTTCATCTGGTGTACCACAAGGCTCTATTATTGGGCCTTTATTCTTTTCCATGTTCCTAAGGGATCTTCCATTAGTTTTTAATTTTAAAGAATACATTATTGTCAATATTGTTTTTAATTTTTATTATTATCATTGCAATTATTGTTTTACTATTATAAAACCAAATTTATTTCTAAGATACGTACATGTAAGGGGCTTAAAGCCCAATTTGTTACATTTAAAATAAATACTTAAGGAAGGGAGAGGGTTTTGGTGGTTGAGATTTAAGCCCCTAAGCCACATTTCAGGAGGTTGCTTCTGGTCAGGTTGTTTAGTAGTAAACAAACTTGCCTAAAAATTAAAAAGTGAAGCTCTGCTAAAAATAAAATAATGTTGAATAAAGTAGCAGGGAAGATATTGATCAAAGAAACCGAATTGAATCTCAAAATGATGCTTGCAGGTGGGCAGAGTTTTCGGTTTGTATATAAATGGGTAATTATTTTACATTTTGAACAATGTCAACTTCTCTAAACATAGATTCAAGACTGTTTTTTTAACATATACATCTTTCAGATGGACAGAATTGGTTCCAAACAGTTGGTCAGGTGTCATCTGCAACTTGTTATGGATTTTGAAACAATCGCCTGATTCCTTGGAGTATGAAGCCATCGGACTCGATGGGAGCGATGATGTCGAGAGAACGATCAGAAAATACCTACGGTTGGACGAAGACATAAAGTCCCTCTACGCGCATTGGTCCAAGCGGGATTCGCATTTTGAAAAAGTCTCTTCGAAATTCCCAGGGATCAGGCTCTTATGCCAGGATCCCGTTGAAAATCTATTCTCTTTTATTTGCTCCTCGAATAATAATATAACAAGGTTTGAATTTTTTTTTCCTAATAAAAACATTTGTAACAAGTAATATTTTATTTCAGGATTTCATCCATGGTCGAGAAACTGTGTTCACTCTATGGAAATGAGATTTGCATCTATGAAGGTAAAACGTACTACGGGTTCCCACAAGTCAAGTCCTTAACCCAGCCAGGAGTCGAAGGTAAAATATTTTAAAACAGTTGAATAAATTTAAAAATTTTCGTTCTTATGATAAATTAAGAGGTTTTCCTTAATGTCTGCTGGATGCTGTATCATTGACACATAAAAACAGTGATCATAGGCATAGAATGATAAAACACAAATGAATTGTAATAAATAATTCTCCTTTTTTTTTAACTATCAAAAAATTAAAGGATCTTAAACGGTAGTTATTTATACCCTAGGCTTGGACAGCATCTGGGCGTACAAAAATCATACATTCATTATTTCAAATCATATAACCTTTCAGATTAGTTTTAGCTGTTTTTGTGTGAGATTTGTAGATACATAAACACCCTTACATATAAAGTAAATTTTCGCTAATCCTACCACGTTTCAATTGGCATGAGAAAACTTGTTTGCAGAATAGCTTTTATTTCAATTAATAATTCTTTTTATCAAGGCCTTGGCTGAGATGAAAAAGTTATTGTCACGAATAGGATTCGAACACATGACCTTTGCCAATATGCGCTGCTCTAACTACTTAACTATTGTGACTTCGATCCACTCTGACACCAACTCCTCACCTGCAAGAATTTTGAAAAATTTTCCCTCTTTTTGCCAATTTTCAAAAAACTGATGTGGTCAATTTTATCTGCTAAACATGTTTGGATTAATATATAGTTTTATATTATTACCCTTTGAGCATAAAGAATTTTGTATTAGGACCTTTCTACACAAGCATTCGATCACTGACTTGAGGGTCTCCTATAAAAACTAAAGTGCATTCTAACAAATACCTAATACAAAATCCTTTGCTCCTATCTCTCAGGACGATTCTTTCCAGTTGGCAAAGGGTCGGACTACACCTGGAAATGGGAGTGCTACAGTGCAGTGTGCTCAGACCAATCTTGTACCTCCTCTACGCTCAGGCTACTTGCACTCCTAACTGCACCCTCTACCTTCCTTGCATATTTTGTAGATGACACATCCGTACTTTCCTCTAATCCTATTGCCTCAGAGGAGTTCCAAGCACAGCCGAATGGAGCAAACTTTGGATGATAACAATTTAAAAATTAAACATTTACCCTTACAGATTATTCCTCAACAACATTCCTATCCCTACAACCGACTGCATACTATTCTATTTTATGTTTAATGTACAAATAAAAACACAGGAACTGAGCAGACGCTTTGGACTAGTGTACAAACCATTTGGACGCAAATCTAACATGTCGGCAAAAAACAAACTACAAACACTACCGAAACCAATTTGGGCATATTGACTAAAAATATTGGGCATCACTAAACCTGCCAATATCCAATGAATTTAGTCCTTCTAATCCAAAGTCTTCATAATCAAAGTCAACCTTCCCTGCTTTATCTCCAGTGCACCCTCCACAACGACCTCAAAACCCTTTGTGAATAAATTAATAAACCAAATTTTCAGTCCCACGATAAATTCTCCACTCACCCCAACCCACTAGCCCAATCCTAAGACAGAATGTATTGTAAATACATATGATAAAATCCATAAAATTTATTTTGTATTACTTTATTATGGTAATCAATATTTTATTAGGTAAAAAAAATTAATAGCATGGAGATTTTTCGTTTGTAGATCCAGTGGTTGTTTGTTCCCAGTCGCCCCATGAATTTTCTTTCACATTCCTCTTCTCCCTAAAATATGATGTATACATACTACATGAATATAGCTAGTATGTAAAAGCATAAGGCCATTTAAAAAATAAATAGACAAAATATATAAACTTATATTGTGAGGACTGCAAGGTGTTTAACCTGTAGTTTGTTCCATTTCGAATGTTTTAAGTCTGTGGCTTATCACTATCTATTGCGGGATTTTAATCAAAATTATTACTAAAAACTGATGGTGAAAAGCTAAAATGCATCAATTTTAGTAATTAACTACATTATCATAGCTTTTATAAAACAAAGATTATTTTCAGTGTACGTGTGTATATCACCTTATCCAGTGTCTTTTATATATACAGCATTCATCTCTTAATAAACCAAACCAGTTTTAATGCTTTTTTGCATGATTGCAGTTATTTAGCTAATTTGAACTGGGCTTGGGTCTGATTAGTTTGGCCTAGTGCGACTTTTCACTGTACGGGCCCAGCATGCATATGCTAAAAATGATTTATATAATTTTATTTTTTATGGGGTTATTTAAACTACAAGGTTACATAAACCCCGGGGGTGCCAGTGTTTTTGAAAAAAGCCCACTTGTAAGTTGGGTTTGAATTCAGGACCACTGGACCTTTACTTTCAGCGATGAGTTGTCCACTAATTTTTATTCAATTAATTAAGGTTTTAAGTTGAGATAAAAAAGTCAGTGTCGCGAGCGGGATTCGAACCCACGACCTTCGGCTTGATACGCCACTACTCTACCACTTGAGCTATCGTGAATTCGATCCCCTCGGGCACTAACTTCCCATCTGAACCCCACCTTTTGAATTTTCCCTCCTTTTTGCCATTTCATCTCAACTTAAAACCTTAATTAATTGAATGTTATTAATAGGTCAAGCGGACCACGAAAAATAATGAATTTAACTAATTTTTTTTTTAATAAATAACAGCAGAATTGAGAAAAGCCGGGTTTGGCTACAGAGCAAAGTACATCTACGAGTCTGCTAAACAGCTCGATGCTCTCGGTGGTGAAAGGTTCTTAGAAGATTTGAAAGCGAAAAGCTACACAGAGTCGAAATTGGAACTTCTCAAGTTTACCGGCATCGGTCCGAAAGTAAATTAAATCTCAATTGTTTATTTTCTTCTGTTAATTACGATTTCACGATTGACAGGTCGCCGACTGTATATGCCTCATGTCACTCGGTCATTTGGGAACAATACCCGTCGACACGCACGTCTTTCAGATAGCGAGGGAACATTACATGCCGAGCCTCAAGTTGACTAAGAACGTTAACGACAAAATTTACAAAATGGTTGGAGACCTATTTAAGGAAATTTACGGTGAATCAGCCGGTTGGGCACACCTCGTACGTATCATAATAAAAAGTAATTTTATATTTAATTCTTAATGTCATTTTTGTTTTAGGTCCTATTTTGTTCTGATCTCAGGGAAAATAGAGTCAAGGAAGGGACTAAACGTAAAAAGGAAATGCCACAAAATAAAAATAAAAATAGAAAGAAGGCAAAATAATAATCACCAGTACAATTTGTTAAAAAAATATAAATATGTAAATATGTGTATATGCATTTTTTAAATTTAAATAAAAATAATAAGCTATAAATATAATCTTTATTACTCTTATTTCCTAACTTGATTATTGATAAGATTCACAAAGAAAATATTTGGCAAATAATAAGCAAAGTAGATAAAATTAAATTTATTGTAAGCAAGGACAGATTTAAAAATTCAGGACCATAACTAATTTAACTTAATTCTCTATAATTGATTTAAAAAAGCTCATCTTTACTTAATATGGGCTATGAGGCAACGGTGATGATTATGAGGGTGAAAATAATAAAATAATACTAAACAGATTTATTTACAATACAGGAAAAAATCAGCAGGGAAAATTGTGAGATTAAAGCTTAAAAAAAGTTTCAATTTTTCTTTAAAATTATTACTGTATAAATTTGTTTGAGGTGCTTTGTCCGGCTGTTTTTCATCGGGTAATCACCCGTACCTTTGGTTTTCCAATTTCTGCACTATCACTTTCTTCTTTGCATTATATTGAAAGTGATTCGCTTCGAAAATCTTACTCTCGTAGAACGGCCTGACGTCGAATATTTTGATTTGTTTAGCCTAAAATAAAATGGGTGAGTTAGAATAAAGACTTATCCCTGATCGTTTTATAAAACTAGATCGTTTCAATAGAATGCAATGTGCAACGTGTCCGCACCTTATCGATGAAATCTTTTTCATGGATTTCGATCTGGTCGACGTCGAATCCATGGATTCCTCTGATGTAGGCCAATTGGTCCAAAGCCATTTGCTTGAGAATATAATAAAGGAGATCTGTTGTGTCTTTTTTGTACAACAGATACTTTTGGAACGTCTGGAAATTTATAAAAAGTATAATGATACATCTGCATACTCTATTAAAAAAACAAAAACAAAGGGAGCTAAAAAAGAAAAATTACTTACTCTTTTCATATTGTTCATTACACTGTATTTTTGAGTTTCGACGAAACTTTCCAACACCATCCTGACTGCCATGTTGACATCGTCTTCTTGTACAACATCCCTTAGATGCATCTTTGCATGAGCTTCCGCCATCCTTATCATGCTTTCGATGTGACGAACTGTGATCGGGAGGCTGGCAGTGGCCTGCAAAGGGTACATTTAACATCTCAATGGAATGACCAGCGCTAAAAGCTCACCATCGATTCCTGCCTGAGTTGGCTGTAAAGCTTGGCAATTTTGTCCTTGTCTATATTGTGAAGACGAGGATGGATATTCTGCCGGGCGTAGATTATGTACTTTTTAAGCATCTCTTGCGGTATGTTGTCGGCGGCTGTCATAGTCTCTGTTGTGCCGGTGGCCGCTGGGTGATGACGGATGTGTGACCCGACGACGAATTTTGCCAGCTGTTCATCAGCAAGCGGGTCCGCCTCATCTTTAACCACACACAACACATCAAAACGCGACATGATCGGCTCAGACAAATTAACCTGAAACATAAAATCATTTAAATGTTGAATAGAACTAGATTCTTTTTTACATACGTTTTCAGAAAAAGTTAAAGTCGGATCATATCTTCCTCCAATGGGATTTGCAGCTGCAATAACTGAGCATCTTGCCTGCAAGGATGTCACAATTCCTGCTTTTGAAATTGAAATACTCTGCTGTTCCATGGCTTCATGAATAGATGTTCTATCATGGTCGTTCATCTAAAATTAGAAGAAAAATAATTACTAAAAATTAAACAAGTAAATGTAAAAATTCTTACCTTATCGAACTCATCAATAAGGCAGATTCCTTGGTCAGCGAGTACAAGCGCTCCTGCTTCTAAAGTCCATTCATGAGTAACAGGACTTCTTCGTACATAAGCCGTCAGACCTACAGCGCTGGCACCTTGTCCTGTTGTAAACACAGATCTGGGAGCGATCTTCTCAACAAATTTAAGAAACTGGGACTTAGCCGTTCCTGGATCTCCACATAGAAGTACGTTGAGATCACCTCTGACTTTGTGTTTCTCGCCTTAAAACGAAATAAATTAATATAAATTGATTCAAAACAATAGTTGAATTAAGCACCTGGATTTTTTGATTGGCCACCGAACAGGGCGAGCGCGAGGCCACGTTTGATGTACTCATGCCCGTATATTGACGGGGCCATGCTATTCACAATTCTTTCTCCGATATGATGGTCTTTAGAGAGCTTTAAAATGGCCGCGATGTCTTCGTCGGTCAGAGAATCGACGATCTGCTTTGAATCTTTAACGATCAAATGGTTGGCAATAATTACAGTGGCAAAAACGGGAAAGCCCTGCTCTGTATTTAAAGACCCTTCGAAAGTATTTGTATAAATGCCAGTCACGTCGATCTCATCGCCAGGCTTGCACCGTTCGCAGAGATCACCGAGCATTATACAATCTTTGCTACGTGGGATCCTTCCGGCTGGGATTTTTCCAGGTGATTCCTGTAGTGTCACCTTCTGGAAATTCCTATAAACTGTTTGTTCCATATTCACCTGCAAGTGAATTATAAATATTATATGTAATCAATCAATTTTTTTTTTTTTTTTTAAGTATACTTACACTAAACGGTCCGACTGATTGGCATTCAGGGCATGAGCCTGGTTTGACTTCATTGTTCTGTGATTGTGTGAAAGGGCCCATTATGTAGCCACATTTACCGCAGTCGTACTTCACCAATGATAATTGGGGAAGAACTCCAGTCGAGGCGGTCACGACACCACTCGTCCTTACCAGTTGGTTTAAATGAAGTCGCCTGAAAGAGACAAAAAGTCAGCCTAAATTGAATTTTAAATAACAAGACCAATAATCAACCTGAATGTCCTCAATTCTTCAACAAGCGGCAGTTCGGAAATCCTAACGTGGATTTCATTTGTAACCCTCTCATAAGTCGGGTAGATGTTGAGCACAAACGCTTTAGCGACCTCATCGAATATCTGCAGCATTTCGATCGGTGCCTCGGGAAGGAAGAACGCGAGGACGTTCTCTTTGCTGGCCAATGTTGAAAATTCAACCTCGAAGCTCGAATAATTGTGCTCGCACATGTTTCTGATCTTTTCCTTGTAGATTTCGACACCACGAGAGTTGACGGTATTTCGAAGGAAACTCCTGAATCTGTTGGCTATTTCTGTCCTTGGGCCGAGCATCGTGACCCATTCTTTGATCGTGTGGCCCTTGGTGTCTTCCAAATTCTCAATCGACTCTATCATCTATTAAATACCATAATTGGAATGCAAATGACTATTTTTTGTAGCAATTGACTTGATTTTGATTTAAAATATAAACACACCAAAATATACATGATGGAACATATCTACAATTCTATAAAACAAGAGAGCAATGAGATGCTGATCAGCAATTCGTCACATCGTCTTGTAAGCTGATGTGCACGTACAATATAGTGCCACATCCCAGAGGTCTTCTGATGATTCAATGACAATTATAGAGTAATATTCCTGTTATTTCTTTCAACCATAGCTTTGTATTGCAATTTGACGCAATAATATTTGACTAAGAGGGATCATTCCACACCACTCAGAATAGGCCATACACAACTGACAAATGGTCTGATAGTGAAAGGCTTTTAAGTAGAAATCAAAATATTTTACAATTGACAAGATAATTAATCTTGCTTACCAAATAATTATTATATAGGGTGACTGGTAAAACCTTTCAAAAGTTATCAAAGGGCCTGGAGCTTAAGGCCTGATGAACATGTTCTGGAATTGCAGAAATTTTTTCCGAGCATTTCCCTTTAGTATGCCATATTAGAAGTAGAAGAAGAAGAAAAATAACTTTATTCTGGGACTGGTGTCCCCTAAGAATAATTTACATGAAATAAATAAAAGAAGTTCCTTCTATGAAATAAAAAAAAAAAAAAAAAAATAACAAATCTTGGCACAATGTATACCAATAAGGCAGGACAGAAGAAAAAATTACGAGAATATTAAACAATAACAAATGTTAACGTGAGGTCTCTGCTTGGACAGAGAGGAGTTGATTATACAGGTGGGATTTAAAGGAGGAAAAGGAGGCGGCGTGACGAATAGAAAGGGGAAGGGAGTTCCAGAGTTTAGGGGGCTCAGATCAGAAAGGATTTTTCGAAGGTATGGGTTGTATGTTGCGGAAGGATAAGGTCGATTGGGGATGAGCGGGTTTTACGAGTGAGATGTGAGGCGTTGAATTGGAGGGATTGGATGATGTAAGGAGGTCGACGAGTGTGGATGGACTGGAAAAGAAAGCAACCTAGGAAATACTGTGCACGGAAGGAGGGGAATAGCCAGGAAAGTTGGGAATACAACCCCGACACCCGGGATCCCCACAAATCTTACATAATACATAATACATTCATAATACGCTTCAATCGCGCATTCTCCCCCTCTGAGAGACCACTGTATGCCAAACAGCTATTAGCATTTTTCCTGCTTCCAATTTCAATTCTGCAGTTCTTGTTTCCATTGGAACTGCTTGCAATGGCAGATGAAATTGATATTGAGTCATTTATGCTGGGCTAAGTGTGGAATAAAAAGATTAAATTTATCACAATCGCTCCAAGAAAAGAGCTACCTGGATAAATAACAGCAGTCAGTTTTTCTGTTTTCTATGGTAGAAATCCATCTGGTTTGACATTTTAAGTAGTTCAGTTGCTACAGCCCCACAGAAGAACCAGCCAAAAAACCACTTGTGCATCAGGCCTAACATATGCATATTTTTATGCAATTCGACATGGAATGATTGTTTCTCTATTTTACATGATTTCTGATTAAATAACAATTAGAAAATTTAATTGGCGCCTTACAGGGTTGTAAGCTTACCACTAAATATGCAAACATTTTATTTATTGGGACAAGTTGTTAAGTATTTTGTCTGTTTTTGGAATAAATGTGTATATTCTGTTTGATGTAATAGCCATTAAGCTGTAACTTTATTAAGCAAGGTGTATCTTATTAGTGGTCAATTAATTATAATAAATATAAATTATTTATCAAATAAATACCTGTTCCTCATCGACTTCCCCTTCAGCAGCAGCTTCAGCCATTCTTTTCTTCTTCTTCCTCAATGGTCCTTCTTCGTCATCGCTAGCCTCTATGGCCCAAGAAACCATTAAAATTCAAAAGTAAATTATATTTCAAATGTGTATCTTCATGTTATACCGTAAAGAAGGTCTATGTCACCCCTCCTGCGACCTTCGGCGACATCTCTCTCTGCCATGAAACGCTCAGCAGCAGCTCGATCCCCTTGCGACATGTCGTCAATTTCATCATCGTCCAGATCACGATCGTCGTAACGATCGAGTAGCGGATTAGGGCGGTAGTCCCTGAAAAGCAGAGCGGTTTTATTACATCGGATTGTTTTAAAATGGTTTACTTACGCTTCTAGATTGTCGCCGAAGAGCTCTTCGCCATCTTCCTCTTCAATGCGTATACTATCTCCACCGATCAGCTCTGATTCGTCTTCAAAAGGCTCTTCGAGTTCCCTCGGCGGTGAGGTGAGGTAGCCACCCTGGCTCCTCGGCTCTGCCATCGACCTAGGTGATCCTTGACTTTCCTGGAGTAAAAACCAAAAACTTCAATCATTTTTGTACGTTAATCAGTAATACACTGTCAATTATTGATTAGGCTTCGATCAAATCTTCGGCTCGTGTATTTAACGATTTACAAAAATACATTTATTTATTTTCAACGAATCGGGTTTTTACCAACTTTAAAATATAAACTGTAAATCACTTACCGACATTGTTGACTTTGTGAAATATAAATAAGCCTAAAACCGTCAATAAACGTCTGCTTAGCACACCAGTCAATTTGTTGCCCGGCCCAGCATCTAACAATCTAACCTCATGCAACAAAGGATCAACAAGTTTTGCCGCCGAAACGCGGGAAAAACGGCTCTCGATACCGGGCATCGATCGCTCCCTACTTAAGTACCTTTAAGTGCCAAAATGTATAGATTTAATTTCAATCTTTAGGCAGAACTGTAATTTAAAAAATGTTTAAAGAAATTAATTAAAAATTAATAATTAAATAACGATTTAAAAACATCATAATAAATTGTGTGTTTTTGGAGGGGGGATTAGGTGCGATCTGATTGTTTGTACATTCTTACGAAGTCCTCATCATACTGCATGTAATGTGGCTTATTTAAAGAATTTTTATAAAGTACATAATATAAGATTGCATATTTTTTAGATTTAATACTGAATTTTGTATGGCATATTTGAATGTTTAGTGAATATAATATTGCATATTTCCGGTCTTATCTGTACCATATTATACGGCATATTTGACGGGTTTTTTCAGTGTGTAATATTTCAGAATTTTTGGTGCATATAATATTGCATAATTCAGGATTTTCAGTTAGTTTAGTGCTAGAATATTGTATATTTCAGGTTTTATTAATGCATTTCATATGGCATACTTGAGGATTTGTTTAGTGCATATAATACAGATACAATTTCATGTTTTATTACTGCATTTTGTATGGCATATTTGAGTGTTTTTTTTAGTACATATAATATTGTATATTTCTGGTTATTTTAGTGCATTTAATATTGCATATTTCCGGTCTTATCAATACATATCATATGGCATATTTGATGGGTTTTTTTAGTACGTATAATATTGCATAATACAGCTTTTAACATTACATATTTTATGGCCTATTTGATTTTTCTCTAGTGCATATAATAATGTATATTTCAGGATTTTTAGTGCATATAATATTGTATATTTCAGGTTTTATTAGTACATTTTATATGGCATAATTGAGGATTTGTTTAGACCATGTCACATAGCATATTTCAGATTTTATTACTGCGTGTAATGTGACATATTTAAGAGATTTTTTGGTACATATAATAATGCATACTCAAACTTTGATCAGTAAATATTTAATGACATATTTGATGAGTTTTTTAATGCATATAGTATTGCATATTTCAGGTTTAATAAATGAATATTGTTTGGCACGTTTGAGGTGTTTTTAGGGCATATAATATTTCATTTTTCATGTCTTAACAGTAATTTTTTTTTTGGTGAATTTATGTATAACTGCATATAATATTTCAGGGATTTTTAAGTACATATAATATTGTATACTTCAGCTTTTACTACCAGTACAAATAAGGAATATTTTATGGTTTTTTTGTTAATGCATATCAGGATTTTATAAATGCATATAATTTGGTGTATTTGAGATTTTTTATTGCATATAGTATTTCATATTTTAGGTTTCATTAGTGCAGGTTTAAGGTTTTTTAGTGCCTATAATATTGTTATTTCAGGATTTTAAAAATGCATTTTATTTGGCATGTTTGCAGTGTTTTTAATGCCAATAATATTGCATATTTAAGGATTTTAGAAATGCGATTATTTGGCATGTTTTAGGTTTTTAGTGCATACAATATTGCATATTTCATGTTTTATTAGTGCATTTTATACGGCATATTTAGGAAATTTTTTTAGTACATTTTAGTGCATTCTTCAGCTTTTATATATAATATTGTGTATGTGCATACAATACTGCATATTTCACGTTTTATTAGTGCATTTTATATGGTATACCTGAGGATTTGTTTAGTCCACATAATACAGCATATTTCAGGTTTCATTACTGCAAAAAGGATTACTCATGTGATATATTTATGGGATTTTTAAGTATATATAATACTGTATACTTCAGCTTTTACCACCAGTACATACAAGACATATTTTTTTTGGTTTTTTAGTGCATATAATTGCATATTTCAGGATTTTATAAATGCATATTATTTGGCAGATTTGAGGGTTTTTAGTGCATATAATATTTCATTGTTTATGCTTTAGCAGTGAAGTTTATATGGCATATTTTAGGAATTTTTAAGTTCATTATAATTTAGCCATATTTCAGCTTTTATATATAATTTCATTTTTTATAATGCACATTATGTAGTGTGTTTGAGGAGTTTTTGGTGCATATCATATTGCCCCATTTCATGTTTTATTAGTGCATTTTATATACCTGAGGATTTGTTTAGTCCACATAATACTGCATATTTCAGGTTTTATTTCTGCATGTAATGTGGCATATTTAAGGGATTTTGAAGTATATATAATATTGTATAATTCAGCTTTTATCAATACTTATTATAAGGCATTTTTTTTTTTTTTTTAGTGCATAAATATTATATATTTCAGGATTTTACAAATGCATTTTATTTGGTATGTTTGAGGTTTTTTGGTGCATATAACATTTCATATTTCAGGTTTTATTAGAGCATATAATGTGACAAATTTGAGTTTTTTGGCTTATAAATCTGGGCTTTAAATATGGTTGAAACTTTGTTGTCAGGTTTTTATCTTTATTTTTTATTGACATATTTATAATTGTGTTTTACGAAAGTATTTATAATCTTGAAAGAATTATTGAAATTGACTTCTGTCATTCGGCGTAATCGATTATCTCGAGAATCGATAATCGTGAATCGAGTTGGGCCGTTTGCTTTGATCGAGTAACCTCGTCTACGTCTCGTTGGAAAACCTCGCAGGTTGAGTCCGTCCCAGGGTAAACATAAAACTTATTTGTCTTGATGCCGGCTGGCTGAGGCCGCGAACGCCGATTTGATACGCGCGAGACGTCCTCCTCTCCAGGACCGCCGCCGCCGCCCAGACGCGGAGATCATTTTGAGAAAGGGAGAAGTCGTCGTTCCTCTCCGCTCTGTGATGGAGAATGGTTTCCATGAGGGTTTTAAGAAACAAGTTCACTGAGGGAGAGAAGGTGCTCTGCTACGAACCGGACCCGGCCAAAACCAAAGTTCTATACGATTCAAAGGTACATTTCATTTATATTAAAAACAAAAAATATACATAACACATATAGACCTATCGTTTTTTCCACTTAACGGCAACCTTAAAAAAATTGATATATCGACCGAATAAAAACTTTCTTTTTTTATTGACTACGTTTCGTTGTTATTGACCAGCGGAGAAGCCAATCACATTGTTTACTCTATTGCTGAAAGTTTGTTGTGCATTTTCCCGCCCTTTTTCACGCATTGAACTGTGGTGAGCAACCGCCTGATAACTGGCGTCTTCTACCCAAGACTCAGATCGTTACTGTTAAACTAACAGGCTGATGATGTAGTTTTCAACCGGTTTATCATCATTCCTAGATTCGTTGTTTTTATATTTTCACATTGAGAAAACATGTTTGTTAAAAATCAATACTTTATTTAAACGCCAATTCAATTACGTTTCCAATTTTTTTAAGTGTTTTTTTTTTCAAACAATATGATTCAATGATTTATGCAGTTTTGTAACATTTTAGTAAAACTTACTAATTAATACAATTATTATTAAAAATTTAATACCCAAGTTAACCATTGCTGACATGATTATATTTTTTGTTTGAACTACGAAATTTTAACTATTATTTATTTTTATATATTTTTGTAATTTTGGGGAGACATTTTTGATTAATTAATTTTTTTAAACATATACTAATTAATAATTATTACTCAAATTTCAATTCTTAAGTTAACCATTGCTGACATGGTCATATTTTATGTGCGAACGATGAAATTTTAACTATTATTTATTTTTATATATTTTTGTAATTTTGTGCAGACGTGTAATTAATTTTTTTTTAAACTAGGTTTTGGTTTTATGACGTTTTTGCAACTATTACTAATTAATAATCATTATTAAAATTTTAATTCCCAAGTTAATCATTGTTGACATGATCATATTTTTTGTACGAATAATGAAATTTTAACTATTATTTATTTTTATATATTTTTGTAATTTTGTGCAGACGTTTAATTAATTATTTTTTTAAAACTAGGTTTTGGCTTTATGACGTTTTTGCAACTATTACTAATTAATAATCATTATTAAAATTTTAATTCCCAAGTTAATTATTGTTGACATGATCATATTTTTTGTACGAACGATGAAATTTTAACTATTATTTATTTTTATATATTTTTGTAATTTTGTGCAGACATTTTTGATTAATTAATTTTATATACCAGATCCTAGTTTTATGACGTTGTTGTAACTATTACCAATTATTAATAAAAATTTCATTCTAAAGTTAACCATTGCTGATCATATTTTTTGCGTGAAATGTGAAAATTAATGTAACGATTTTATTTATTTTTAAATATTTTTGTAATTTTGTGTGGAATTGTGTAATTAATTAATTTTGTATTATTGTTAATGTGTGGTGTTTAGTGTCCGTTAGTCAATGATTTATTTTTTCTTAAACCTGCATCACACCAGACCGTATCTCACGATCTCTAAATAATCATTATTAATTATTCTTAGATCTAGGTTTTACGAATTTTTGTAACCATTTACACTAAAATGCGACTATTAAAATGTTAGTCTTTTTTAATAAGCTGGAACCACTAAGGGACATTGCTTGAAACTATTTTTATGCTTTATATAATTTTTCAGGAAAAATCATATTAAAAAGTCAGTGGAATTACAAAATATTAAAAATATAGTATACCATCACTGGTGCTTTTTAAACCAACATATACGTATGTTAAAAGGATTGGGGTGAGAGAAAATACTTGATTTTGAAAAGTCATTTAAAAGAGCTAAAAAAGAAGAACTGGGAGCTCTTTTATGGTATACAGTATTATTTTAATAATTAAATAATAATTAATAATTTAAAAAAAAGTGCAAAATAATAATCCTTTCTCTTGGGTAACTAAAGAAAACAACAAATACTGGGAACATAAGCCAAGCATGAGGCAATCGAAAAGACTACTTACAAAACAACCATGGGAGAAAGAAGAAATCCTACTTAACAGAAAGAAACTAACTGGTATAGTAGTAGGACATGCTCTAGTGATGTACCACCTTTAAAACATAGGATTATCAACATATGACCTATGTCCACTATGTCTAGAAGAGACAGACAAAAGAACTATATCCTACGCAACTGCCCTGTACGATTAGAGAAACTTAAAGTACATTCACAAAATATCTTTTTCTTGTTGTTGCCAAAAATTTCCTGCAAAGTTGAAGGCAGTGAATGAAAGTGATCTATGCTCTTTGAAAAAGTTACATGTCGTAAATATATGTTTTATGGTTAAAATTCCATTGCATGAGTTGAAAAATGGGAGACACCTCTCACACCTCAAATGACCCTGGATGGTTCTACATTGCTCGATCTTCAGTCGTGCAAGAACCATGTCCTCCCTCGTGTTGTCCCTCGAAGCAAGCCATGCTTGGAAATTGGAAAAAAAGAAATGTGTTTATCAAGTCAACAGATCAGTCATGTGGGTCTTACTTAAGGAAATAAAACAATTAATTAGATGTTTAAGCTTATCCTCAAGCTCCCAAGGAAGTCTCCCGTACATAACATCCATAATCAAAGTGGAGGAAAATAAGGAAGGAAATTAGTTCAAGTGCACTAAAGGGGACTGGCATTTTTGTTAGATATATTGCTGATTACTAATTTGTATAACCTCAAATTTGCACTTGCATGTACATACATTGTGTTCCCGAGTACTCATTGTCAACAAGACAAGAGGATCTTTAACGTCCGCACCTAGCCTATTCGGCCTTATCGGACGTTTTGATTCTCAAGATGAGAGCTGTGTTGTTGTTACAATGGAATGTTGTTACCGCCGTAGCATTGGTGTAGAGGTTGCCCAGCCCCTAAGAGCCAGTACAACCACGCTCTCCTCTTGTCCACTCCGAATGGTCGGGCCCGCATTGTGCATCGCAAGGGGCCAACAGGCCGAAATACATCACCCCCCCCCCCCCCTACTCACTAGATAGAGAAGGCCACTCTATCTCTCTGAGTATAGAGGCTCCCCCAGCATAGAAACTTCCGCCCTGGCAGCTGTTTAGTTTAAAGTGGAATTGCTATCCACCCCCTAGATGAGCACCGCCTATGGTAAAGTCTCTTATCGAGCTCAGCCTACACCTGCTAAGTGCATTCGAGGGATGCCATAGGCTCAGCCTAGGTGGTCCGATCCTTCGCTTCCCCATGGGTACCACACCAGTCGTATGCACAACAATGCAAAGCATACTCGAATCTAAGACACCGACTCACTACCCGCTTATTTTCGCATTCGAGGGACTATAGCATGATCATTACGTCCTCAACGCTTACATGCTGTCGTCCGGTCGCAACGTTTCCCTTGAGGCCGGGCGGTTTTACGTTGGCCATACGCAAGTTTCACGAAGGTCACAAATAGAAGACAGCCTCTGTCTAAGTTCCCGCCAGGGGCATCACCACGAAACCATTCCCAGTGTAACTAGGGCTGATTTTGAAACTTTTCAGTTACCCCATGGTACAGATGGCCATACACCCTCCCCCGTCTTTGCAGACAGGATCTAGTGCATTGGCCCTCGTGTGACTCTGCTAAGGCCAACACAAGTACAGCTTGTGCTTTAGAGAGGTTGCCACGCCCTCTGGGCTGCACCTTTATTTTGTGCCCAGATACCCCCCTTGTAACCAATGGTTAGAGGGGCACAGGATAGAATGAAGGAGCTCGGAATGAGAAAAAGGGCCGTGGATGAGAACACGAGGTGAGCCGTTTGGGGGTCTCGAGTCTCGAACCACACTATACCACCCGTTGTCACCGTAGTTCCACATAAAAATGGCTACCTCCCTGGGTGTTGGCAGTACGAGGTCAGACTTGATCTTATCCATCCAGCCACAGAGGTTGGGCTCCGGGGGCTACCAACAGCTAGGCCATTTCAGCCTTCCAACCCAATTAGTTTAAAACCAAACCCATTCACTCAGGTTAGGTAGTGGAGTACTTGACAATCCTCCATCTCCCTTCACACCATTCCATAACTAACATAATTGAGGGTTGATGGGGTACTTAATAGGCCTCCATCAGCCCTTTCACTCTACACATTTACATTCACTCTCAACACATGCTAGGTACTAGTACTATATTCAACAAAATACTGTTTCCTCCAAGAATCAGAACAGGGGACCCAGATACTCATTGCCATGCTCAAGCATATTTGGTGGCATTCCTACACACTTACTGTAGAGCCAATGAATTGCACCCTTCAACTAGGTGAGACACATTGAGCAATCTTTTTCTACATGTCGGATGCATACACATGCTTTGGCCCAAAAGTTAGTGCTTGTGTGACAACCTCACATGGCCTATCCTTAATCGGGTGAGGATGACCTTTCTACGAGTTAGGTCCTCTGAGAGGGCCACTTATCAACAGTGCTGTTTCTGATTTAGACCACTGATGTTACCAGTTTCTTTTAATCATATTTTTTAATGCAGATTTAGCTTGTTATATGTATCATATATTTGTTGTCATTTAATCAGAAGTTTTGATTTGAATTACTACCTGCTTCTTTTGCTGCTCTATTTATAGGAAGTTCATTCAATCGTAGTTCATACAATAATACTTGTTTTTCATTTCTCGTTTTAGATGTACAGTTTCTGTTAATTAATTTATTATTTTAGGTTTTAGATATAGTGTCGAGGAAAGATGAAAACGGAAAAAAAGTCTTAGAGTTTCTCATACACTTTCAGGTATGTTTTTTAAATTTTTTGTTTGTCCCTTAATTATAGCATGATTTATTTTAAGGGCTGGAATTCGACTTGGGATAGATTCGTTACCGAAGAATACGTGTTAAAAGACACAGAGGAGAACCGAAAACTCCAGAGAGAGCTGGCAGAAAAGGCTCAGTTGACTGCGTATGGACATCCTTCTTACAAAAACAAAACAAAACGCACAAAACAAAATCTAACAATTAATCAAATTTATTAATTAATTTCAAGGGGGTGTGGGAATCTCTACAGAAAGCATATTAAGAAAAGGACGAGTGGGAGTGCTACGAGAAACAAAGACTGGTCATCTAGGTTAAGTGCGTCAGGGGGTGCAGATTCAGGGAGTGGAAGCCGAGGTATTTCAATCCTTTCAAATTTTCCATTAAAATTTCATTTGAGAATATAAATATTTTTTCCAGGTAGCAGTGGTGTGCCCGCCGAGGGTACTAGCGGAGCAGCTGTGGCATCTGCTCAGAATCGTAAAGCGTCTGGGAATGATGAAAAATCGGATGATGACTGGCCTCGGTTTGTCATCAACTTCGTCATTACACCAAGGATGCGAACATTCCTCGAATCCGACTACAGTCGGATCAAACAGGAGAATCGGGTACACGAATGGACAAATTTAAATTTGTAAATGTAAAAAGTTTTATAACTCTTTTCGTACAGGTTGTTCGCTTACCTTGCTCCCCGACCGCGGTGGAGATACTCCAGCTTTGGATGACAGAATACATTTATAGCAGAATAAGGTTGATGTGCTATAAAAAAGGCCAGCTCAAGCCGGTACCTCCCAATAAAACATCAAACGTTACAATAAAAAATGTACTAACTCAGTAAGTTTTTTTTTTATTTTTAAATTTAAATTTATAAAGAATTGTTAAGACATTTTTTTTTTTTTTCCAGTGCTAATCTATGTCATGAAGTCGCTGATGGTCTTAGAGTTTATATGGACTTCATGCTTAAAACTGTCCTTTTGTATGATGAAGAAAGGACTCAGTATAGATGCTTTATTCCTTCTGATGAATTCAAAATCAAAATTGAAGATGAAAAGTAAAGCTTATAATAATTACAAAGAGTTCAATTTAATTAAAATAATCGTAAATAATTCATGATTTTGTTTTAAAGGATGGAAGTTGACGAAATAAAACAGATAGATGAAAAAGTTAACGACAATCCAGGGCTCTCCAGTAAAGATAAGTTATCAATTAAGCACGTTAAAGATAAACAACATAAAGAATCAAATTGGGAGAAATCGAAAGAATCGCCAGTCAAAGAGAAGGTATCAAAAGAGGTGAAAGAATTAATTAGAAATCGTTTGAGGGATTTACCTAAAGAAAAAGTCAAAGAAGAGAAAAAGGATAATGATCAATATGAAGGTAAGGTGACAAAAATGTATTAAGAAAACAAAAATTTTATAATTTGTTACTTTCAGTTTGTAATTCGCTGAGGGACGATTATGACAGGAGGAAGTCTTTGCGTCCCAGGCAGCAGACAGGCGAGGCTGTGACTTCGCCTCTTCCTCCGCCAAAACAATCACACCCGCCGATGTCGAGTCAGAAAGCCGTAATGATCGAGAAAAGGGCGATTCTGCGTGGGAAAATACGCTGCTCGGGCAACCGCAATTCACAACCCGGGGCGATTGATATTAGTGAACTACTAGGCCCTGCAGCAAACAAAGGGTGAGCGATAAATTTAAAGTGGGGGATACATACAAAATTTCAAAATTTCCTACTTAGGGTTTATTTTATTTTTGTTTTGCTTCAGTCCCGAACCGCTTTTGCTCCGTCCAATGGCTAAAAAGGATCGAGAGTTTCTGAAGAAAATTTCCGAAAGGAAGCTTCTGCCAGAGACTTATTGTGAGGAGAGAAAGCCGTCTTTTTTGTACGGCGCTGTGCATTTGGCAAGATCTTTATGTACGTTTTTAATTTTATACAATCAAGAAGAGAAAATTACAAAATATAATTTTTTTTCCAGTGAAAATGCCGGAACTTTTGTCTACTGCTGAGTATGACGATGCAAAAGTGAACCTTCTGATTGAATTTCTAAAAAATTTCATGCAGTATGTATAATTTTTTGTTCAATTTTTTTTTCATAACATAAATTTTCATTTTTATTAGGTTTCTTGAGGATCACCCCGAATGGTTTTCTGATGATGTATATGTGCCGAACACTTTCGGCATTGATTTACTGCCGATGCACGATGACCAGGTGAAGAAGTTGAAGCTGACGACGATCCCGTCGAAAAGCTCTGGACACAAATCATCACATCCTCAGCAATCCCCTTCTCTTTCTTGCCAGGCGCAGTCGCATGAGAAAAAAGAGATCTCTGTATAAAAAAGATAAAAATATTAACCAATAAACTTTTCTATCAAAACCCAGTTGTGAGTAGATTCTTAGAAATTTGTGGGTTACATTTTCCCTGTCATGTATTGATAATTTTGACTATTAGGAGATAACCTTGCAAATGGCAGACTTTAGTGCTGTCCTGTTTATAAATATAGTTAATGAAAATTTATTACATATTGTACTTTTTTTAATATTTTTATACCTGAATTTACTCTTCTAATAAAATTCTGCTGCTCTATTGTGATTTAAAAATGAGTTTCAGATGAAAGTATAATTTTAAAGAAATTGGTTGTTTTAGCCTTAGATTCAATATGATGATGTTTTGGTAGACGATAAGGGCAGGATACAGAATGTTGGAGGCCCTAAAATAAAACCAGCCAAAGATGTCTTATATCAGTCATCTGTATGGTTGTGAAGTATAGACTAGCATACTTAAAAAGAATAGCTCATGGCATCAGCCCAAATAAGAGGCTGGCAAGTGAAATGTAGCAAAGATGAACGTGGATAATAAAACTGATGAGTGAATTGGATAAGTTTGAGTGGTAGGTTACTATTACCTTTTTGTACAGCATGGGTAAAGTAGGGAGCTTGGTTTGTCAATTTGGAGTCCAAAAGGTGATGCCACACGTATCCTTCGACTGTAGCAGATAGCTCAAGGAGGGTCAGAGAATAGTCATAAGAGTGAGGTTCCAATGTAGGTGTCCTGAAGATGGCGCAGAAGGAGCAGCTCGCAAAGGTTGTGGGAAATTGGTGGGGGGGGGGTATTTTCATTAAGAGCGTTACACCATTTTTGGGTGTCATTTTTTGTGGCAAAATCAATTCTGTATAAGGATTCATCCTGAACTCCAGCTCCCGTGCCTTCATCTGTTTTTGAGCCGTTGGTATACCAGTTTAACTTAAGACGATTATAAGAGCGCCAATCAGAAAAGGCCCAAACGCCATTTTGTATAACCATACATTCACCTGGGTTAGAAATATTTTTATAAATTTTGAGGTCAGCCAGCATAGACCTAACAGCCGGAGATAGCACCATACACATCATTAAAGAATAATAAAAATAGTTTGGGGCCTGAATGGTAACCCTGAGGTACCCCCGCGACTACCGAAACTGGATCCGAGCATCCACATAAGATACAGAGAAGGTTTCCAGTCTGAACTCATAGCATTTGACACTGTAAGGAAATATAAAGGTTAAGAACACATTCCAGGAAGACAGCCATCTCCTTCAATAGTAAGGCGTCACTTAAGGCCTTAACATCATGCAAAGTAAAGGCAAAAAGCATATGGAAGCCCTGGCAGAAGTCATGGACACCAATAACCCTGGCATGGATCCCTGCATATTTGGGGCATATAAGCAATGAGGAACTGGGAATGCTGGCCAAAAGGAAGCCAGTATGGATTCTCTAGGCCGAGAACCTATCATCTCGCCACAAAAAAGGCAACAAAATGGTTCCTTAAGTAGTTCAAAACTGGTTGAACAATACCCCACGCATGAGAAATGTGAACTCCGAAAAAGTTTCAAAGGAATTACTGGAGAGACACTGCAACAGAACCAGAATTCTGGTTCGACTCCAGACAGGGCACTGCCACCTAAGAAGACATGCACTGGATACTAGTATAGACAGAAGAAACACTGTGCAGATATTGAAAGGAAGAGGAGGAGACTGCAGAACACATTTTATGTTTTTGTGAAGGTCTATGTAGGTGCAGGTTCTTGCAACGAGGACAGGAAAACCCGCAAACAAGACTTTACACTAAGGATCCACTGGCAAGGCTGGAGGTCGATTAACAACCTGAAACCGGCTAGTGTTTTATAAAAATAGAGGAATACAAATCTATTCAGGCTGAGGTGCAGAAGGCCTTCTGGCCACTTCTTTTATTCCAATCCCTATCCCAGTTCTAGACAGTAAACTTATGATGAAACAACCCTCACCAAGACTGGCATAATCACTGCTGTGATTGGACTGGGATAAACTCAGAGGAGTGGTGGGACCACTAACCACTGGCATCTGAGGAAACAACATGGGCATATACAACGATGATTCCATATGCAGATTATGTAATGAGGAGGAGGAAACAGCCACCCATATCATCTTCAAATGCGAAGCAATAGCTCAATGGAGATTTAACCTTTACGAGAAAAACTTAGGGAATCAAATTTTAGCAGTGACAGTCAATGACCTGATACTTTTAAGGAAAAGGATTGAGTCTATTGCACTGAACTAAGGAACTTGGAAGGTACAATAAGCCAGAATGCCGCAGTACCGGGGGAACTCAAACCCCGCTTCCTAGTATCCTTATCACCATACCATACCATCCCAGGAAAAACGAGCCCACTAAACGAGCAAGAAAGCTCAACCGAACAGGTAAAAAAGTCGTACATGTATACATTTTAGGCTCAATAAACTGAATTATTTTAATATTAAAGTAGGAAACGATCCTTGGAAAGGGTGAGGAGGAAGAAAAGCGGCCCTCCGGTGCCTAAGAGCACCGAACTGGTGGAAGGGGATGCCCCGCCCTCCGGCCGAGCGATGGTACCCGTCCTCACCCGTCGTCCTGCATCCAGTTGTGCTTACTCGCGGAGGGTGCACGGTCCGAGGGAAGTCCTTCTCGTTGTAATGGTCCTTGTGCACGCGAACGACCCTAATGTGTGATGGAGGCCAAGCTGACATGTTATCTCGTCGTCCAGGCGCTAGCCCTCGTCTCCACCTCTGGCGATTCGCAGATAGAACAATGCAAACTCCATTGCCCACTGCAGGTCAGCTAGAATTTTTTTTACAAAAAATGAAAAATAGCGAGAATGATGAAGAATTTGGTTTTCCTTGAGATTTTGACTGTCGCAAGAACTTTTGGTCATTTTCATCACCCTAGCTAAAAAAAAGACATTTTCCCTCCAAATTTGACTATTAGTTTTTGTCAATAAAAAAACTCTTAATGAACTTTGAATAAAAATAAACGGCAGTTAAGAATGCACGCAAATCATGTCGCCTTTAAAAAAAATCTGAAATTTTTCCTTGCACTCTTCCAGACCAATATTTTAAAATAAATTAAAAATAAATAGATAAACACACGTTCTTGAATTGCAAATGATTGCTTTTGCTATTAATTCATATTAATTAAACGTTCAAAATTCTTCTTAGAAAAAGATTCTTCTTAGTTTTGAAGATGCTCTCTTGTAAAAATAAGGCGCGGAGGCTTAGGCTGGCTTACCCTTTCGGGACTTAATAATTATATCGTACAACGTGAAAGAAGCTACGAATGAATTATTAAGATTAAAAATAAAGATTAAGATTGAAATAAAAACAATGTTTGTTTCGTTAATTTTTTTGATAAATATCGTCCAAATATAGATAAACGTACTTCGTTTCAAGTTCAAAGTTTTCGTTTCGTTGATCGAACGTTTACTATCAATTATTCAAAAAATAATAATTTTACCAAACCTTGTTTAACAGAAAAAGTCTTTTAATTTTATTATTTTTATTATTATTATTAATTACAGTTTTAGTTTTATTGAAATTATTAGTCGTTAATTTTTGATGTATAAGATGATTATATGCAAATATCGGATAAGGCGGAAAGCTAGCCTAGGTAAATAGTTCTTAGTCGTTTTTACAACTATTTTCCTTCAAATGTCTTGAATATAGCAATTTTAAAAAAAATTGTAAAATTATATTATCATTTGGAGGCAATTTTTTTTTTTGGGGGGGGTTAATAGTGAGGAAATATGCAAATCATTTAACAGATTAAACGCAGTTTTGTCTTTGTAAATTACAGCTTTTCTATTTTTTCTATTACTGGCGTTAGGAGGCCTTTTTCTGGCTTAATGACTAAATCGTAAAATGTGAAGGAAGCTGCGAATGAATTATTAAGTTTAAAAATAGAGATTAAGATTAAAATGAAAATAAAATACGCTTGTTTCGATATTTTTTAGGGATAAATATAGTCGAAATATAGATAAACGTATGAATACTGCGTTTCAAGTTCAAAGTTTTCGTTTCGTTGATCGCACATTTACTATCAATTATTTAAAAAATAATAATTTGGACAAATTTGTTGAAACATCTATAAATATAAATTTAATGTTGAAAAAATCTTTGAACTTGGTTTTGATGATTTGTAAGGATAAAACTTGCTCGACAGAAGAAACGATCTATACAGGGTGTCCCAGTTCCTTCTGACGAAACTTAGGGAATCGATTCTACTCTTCGTTTGGAGCAAAAAATGCTCAGGAGAAAATTTTCGGAAAGTTATCTATTTAGAAGATATTCGTGAATTTAGGTTTTTTCACATTTTCACTAACTTACCACATAAAAACGCTTACAACCTCCAAAATGTTGAAACTACAATAAATCCAATTACACAATTTGAAAGAGCGCTAAATTTTCTGTAAGATACTTCTATTTGCAATAATCTGAATGGCATAAAATGTTAGCCAAAATCAGTTGGAACATGTCAAAATTACAAAATTTAAAATTTTGGTCATGATTGAACGTTCTACTGAGGTTACAAAAAAATACCTACAACTTGTCAAATTTCACAAAAACTTCTTCATCTAATATGTTTTACGTTGATTTTTCAACTCTCCAAGAACGTTATTTAAAAACCTGGATATATCAACGTAAAGCATATTAGATTAAGAAGTTTTTGTGAAATTTGACAAGTTGTAGGTATTTTTTTGTAACCTCACTAGAACGTGCAATCATGACAAAAATTTTAAATTTTGTAATTTTGACATGTTCCAACTGATATTTTTTTATTTATTTATTTATTTATTTTTTTTTTTGGTGTGTTAACCAGGGAAGAAATGTGCAAATCATAAGACCATAAATTTCAGTTGTTCTATTTTTCTATTATATTTATTATTTTTTTAAAGATACATAATGGAAGGAATACGGATTTTTAAGAAAAATAAAAAGAAAAGGAGAAAGAATTAATTTTTGAATTTAAAAATTCTCTGTGATATGAACACAAAAGGGTATTCGATTTTTTAAAAATATCAATTAAAAAGACTTAAAATCTTTTTTTTCTAATTTACGTTTTATTTGTCGTTTTGGCGTGTTATTTTTTTCATAGTTAATTATAGCATATGAAATTGTTAATTACGAATAAAAACAATCATGGCCTATTTGTTTCCTTTCATGAAACTTATGATTAGAAATTTTTCTCAACTGAACTATTTTTCTATAATAAATTAACTTGGATTTGTTGGCTGATAATTTGTACAATACAAACATAGTTTCCTCTTCTTTAAGCTAAGCTTTAAAGCATCTAAACTAGAGAATACCCAAAAAGTCAATTCTTGCTGGAGTACCCTGTAAAAAATACAATTTCTGGGAAATTCGTTTGTAAATTATAAACCAAGCACGTGTGTATATTCTTCGGGACGCCGAGTATATTAACTTAGCCCGAAGAAGCGACGGTTGAAATTCAAGAGAGAATGGCTTTAAAAAAAAATCCTTTGCAATACTCTGTATAAAAACCCAATTTCTTAGACTTATTTGTACATTATACAAAAGATGTGTGGTTGAGTTGTACTTGAATTTTTATATTATTTGGCATACCTTTTTTTATTAACTCAGCTTAAATAAATATTGCAACCTATTTAAATTCAGGAGGAAATTGCTAAAAAAATCTCTTTGCAGTACCCAGTATAAAATCAAATTTCTGGCATTTTTTTTTGTCCTTTGTACAAAACAAGAGTGAGGATTGGTTGAGTTGGGATTTTTATAATATTTGGGGCAGTCTATATATTAACCTAGGTTAAAAAAAAACTGCGATTGTTGAAATTCAGGCTAGCTCGGCAAAAGAACATTCTTGTTGCGGTACCCTGTATAAAAATTGATTTTCTGGCCATTTTGTTTGTTAATTATACGAAAGAAAAGTGCTCTTGAGATGGACTAATGCTTTTATATTATTCGGGACACCCTATAATTAATTTAGCTCAAAGAACCGACGGTTGAAATTCTAAAGAGAATGGCTTTAAAAAAATCCCTATTCAATAACCAGTATAAATATGCAATATCTGACATTTATTTGTACTTTATATAAGAGAAAAATTAAAGCTTAAAGCTATAGCTAAATAAAATGGATTATTACCATTGTCAAAATCCATGAGAGAACGGAAAAAAGGATATTGTTGTTGCAATACTCTGTTTAAATACCCAATTTTTGGCCATTTTGTTTGAACATTATATAAAGTATAACTTGTCGAGTTGTACTAGGACACTCTGACATAGTTCAAAGAAATACTGTTACGACTGTTTAAATTTAGGAATGAACGGCAAAAAAGATATTCTTTGTTTTGGATTGTAATATCCTATATAAAAATCCAATCTCTGGCATTTGTACATCGTAAAAAAAATTTGGTCGAGGTGTAGGGGATTTTTATATTTTTTGTGACACTCTGTACTGACATAGCTCAAAGAAATGTTGTTACGACTGTTTACATTTAGGAAAGAACGGCAAAAAAATTTTCTTTGCTTTCGATTGCAATATCCTGTATAAAAGTCGAAATCTCTGGCATTTGTACATCGTAAAAAAATTTGGTCGAGGTGTAGGGGATTTTTATATTTTTTGAGACACTGTACTGACATAGCTCAAAGAAATACTGTTACGACTGTTTAAATTTAGGAAAGAACGGCAAAAAAGATTTTTTTTTTGTTTTGGATTGCAATATCCTGTATAAAAGTCCAATCTCTGGCATTTGTACATCGTAAAAAAAATTTGGTCGAGGTGTAGGGGATTTTTATATTTTTTGAGACACTCTGTACTGACATAGCTCAAAGAAATACTGTTACGATTGTTTAAATTTAGGAAAGAACGGCAAAAAAGATTTTCTTTGTTTTGGATTGCAATATCCTGTATAAAAGTCCAATCTCTGGCATTTGTACTTCGTAAAAAAAATTTGGTCGAGGTGTAGGGGATTGTTATATTTTTCCGGACCCCCTGTGTTTAGTTAACTTAGCCCAAAAAAACATTTTTGCAAAAAACAAATAAAATCAATAAATAAATTTTAAAATATTATTGACAATTTAAATCAAACAGTAGGCCCAACTTCTTTTTAACATGCAGGGTGTCGCAGTTCAAATTTTCTTTTAACCTTTGTTAAACTTAAAATTTTCCTTATTTTTTTAATAAATCAATTTTCATATTGGACAAGACGTGAACATTTTAGAAAAATACTGTCGAATATTTGCCTTCTGCCGTTTTTGGTTTTCTCCTCTTAGCATCTGTCAATTAAAAGATAAGATGTTTGTGACATGAATGCCATGAGATCATCTCGCAAAACGGTAAAAGTTTGTTTTCGAGTCAAAATGTAGGAAATTTTCACAATAGTTTGTTTTTGTTGGAAATGAGGTATAATTTTAAATAAAAAGAACTGGTAGTTTATGCAGTGATTATGATATAAACAGATTATTTAGTGTTTTAAGCAGTTAAAAAATAAATAAATAATAAAGGATTAAACTACTCTCTTTCTCTTTGTTTGATCTGACTTGCATCTTGTGAGATACAGCCAGGATTCCCGTCCGTCGCGTTTCGCTTAATTGGCCTGATGAGCCGTTCATTTGCCTTCGTTAATTGCAACGCGTCGGACAAAACAGTTTTCTGCAGACTGACTCGCGATTCAATATCGAAAAACTTCTTTGTCCCTGAATTCAGCCTTATTTTCAAAGGGTTGAACCACCGGGGCCGTTAAAAGAATTGACGAGCTGCCTGTAACGCGTCAAACTAATGGGACCAGACACGTAACCGCTTTTA